CTGAAGACAGCGAGCTTGATCGTGGTAGGCTCAATACAATGCCCCCCCCCCCCCCCCCCCCCCTCCTCCCATCCAATCCCTTATCCCGCGGTACATTATCTTTGGGTGATGGTCAGGTCCATCAGGGGTTAACCAACGGCCAAGCGCAGATCAGGGTTTGACCGGGCGATGATGTAGTGCCCCACCATATTTTTCTTCTTCTTTTGCTTCTCTGAGTCCCGCGTCTTGCCCTGAACTCCCCTGCCTGAATGCAGATGGCTGCGGCCGAAAAATGGACTGCACAAAGAGGCCGGTTTGGTTACAATGCGACAATTACAGACAGGCAAATGTAGGTCGATATATTCTGTGGACGGATGTGTAGCCTGGTGAGGGTGCATTTCTTGCGAGATTTGAGTGTGTACAAGGCATGCAGCCCACCAAGCAAGCACTTTTTGACGCCCGACTGGATCTTCTAAGCTAAGGTACAACACGTCGCTACTTCCTCAACGCTGCCTCACTACGACGCAACGAGGGGGCGAATCAACCCAATCGCAGTAAGAGCAAACTCCAGGTCAGATTAGATCAGGCCAGGTCAGGTGTCTTTCCATGCAATAGTATTGCTCGTGCTTGGAACGTGCCACTGGTTTTAGTCTCGTCTCCTGAGAAGATCCAAATAGTTTGTGATAATTATATTGGACACTGGACAATAAATGTGAGCAGGAGTAGCTCGTTGCACTCATCTCTTGCTTATGGGCGCCGCCGCCTATATCATCAGATGATGAACAGGTGTTGCGATGCCTCTATCCGTGCCAAGATTTGGTCCTACCAGCAAGGAGAAATACTAGGTAGCCAGGATAGGACGGACGCGCGTGAGGCAACTTGTGAACCAGATTGATAGGCTACATCAACACAACGCCTTTTCCCTGAGCCTCTGTTCCGTCAGCCAGAAACTCATCAGAGCCGCAAGCCGAGTGGGCAGCCAGGGCATTGAGATGATAGAATAGCTCCCTGGTCGCTATCTTACAGGCACTGCTTCATTAGCTGTCTGTGAACGCGTGAGAATGAAGTCATTGCATACATTCATTACATTAGACAATGCTACCTATGTTTATTAGACCAGGAACGGGTCGCGCTTGGAAGTCCGGCTCTTCTTACTGCTATTGGAAAAATTTGCCCCTCTAAGAAATGGCTCAGAGTGCCTTGTAGACCGGACGGTTTGACACTCACTCGGGGTTTGCATGTCGGATTTGAGTTTAGACATTTTCTCGTCCTTTGGAGGCTTTCTGGCGATGCAGCCATTACATATAAGTGCAACATTATACTATGTATGGAGGGAGACTGTGAGGCGATCTGTACCTAGGTAAGGTAGGATCGAGTACCTACCTGCCGACTCTTTCTTAGGTGACTATGCTCATCATTATCCCTCGTACGAGCAGCCGTCTTCCCGAACGAATTGCCCCTTTTACGTGATGCCGCTCTTTTCTAATTTGTCTGTGATCTTCCTGATATTCCACATAACAGGCCACTCTCTCTCATACACGCTGTTGGTGTTGGACATTGATCTCTTGGAGTACCTAAACAGCCGGTTCCCCACCATCTCGAGGAAGTCCAGTGAAAGGAAAACAGGTTCTAGTGGCATACTAGCACAACGGCCTCAACCTGTCCGCAGCATTGGTTAGATTGGGGCTGTCATTCTTCTGCTGCAAACCCAAATCTCCATACTTTAGTGTCGACCTTGTTGTTAGTAGTATGCACTGGACTACCTAATGTAGACAAAGACACACGGGAGGTTCATGTAGAAATGCCCCCTTTTCTTCCGTACATGCATACTACCTCTTACCTTTTTTTTTTTTTTTTTTTGGTATTGGCACTGGTCATGATGGTGAGGCACAAGAGCTTCGAGGATGGTGCTGGTGTGGTAATGGATTGAGGGGAAACTTCTGGTAGACCCAAAGTCCCCAAACAGCCTTCTCTCATTCCGTCTCAGACAGCCACGAAGGAAGCGTGGAAGTCCTTGGACTGGGTGAGACTTCCCCACAAGACGACGACGACGACAATGACAGTCATAATGGTCTTGCTAAATGTTGCTCTGTTCCTAGCCTCAAAGATTAGGTGTGTGTATGTGTGCTAGAAACAGTACGTACCTCGATCGCCTGTGCCAATGGCCAGCGCAAGCGCTATGTTTGTACACCACATCTTTGCCCCATACCCCTTGCTGATCCTCGAAATCCCTGGTTGCACCAATATCGTTGGCAGAGGGTACCACAGTACGCATGACAAGTACCTATCCTCGTCGCTCACACGGCCGCTTTCGCTCACTGTCTGCTGAATTGCTAAAAATTGTACGGGATAGATGTATGTGGGTGTTTTGCGCCATGCTCTGTTGTGCTGTGCTGGCTCTGTGCCGGGCGACGGATTGATTGCTCCCTTGGACTGGACGTCCTTGCTACACGACAGTTATGGCTCAGTCCCAGGATAGTCCCTGCTGCTAGATTCTTGGGCTCGCAGAATGGAAGCAGATTTTACCTTCTACCCTGAGAGTGTAGTTTGACACGCCATTCCTGGTGTGCCCAGTACTTCTCCGAAAGGAGTCATCGATCGACCGGCACCGGCACCGCTGCGCTGCGTAGCGCATCGCATTCATTCTTCTTCCCCAGTGCCTTGCTTTGCAATTCAATGTTGATTGCCTGTACCTTTGTTTCTGTTTTAATCTTTATTTTCTACTAGTATATGATTATCAGTTCAGGTTATCTTTTGATTGAAACATCAACATATTCTAGGTCCTCAGTTTCTGTTTTCCTTGACCGTACATAGTTCACTGGGTCTGACTCCTCCCACGAAGCTACCTACGTACATGAACGCAGCCCGCATGTACGAGCGAGCGTAGTGCCGCTAGAGAAAATGTTGCCCTACGTGGACTAGTTTGACTTGTCCACAACCTTGGAAAAAACCATGCCATTAGAACAGAGCGCCCTGCAGCAGGGCAGCAGCGCACCACAACAGACTTGAGCGCTGCGATCACTACTGGATTCCGCAATGCCCAGTTCTTTCCCCTTCATCACTAGCAAGCTGCCATGTCATTCATTCCTAAAGCACCCAAATGCCAGGTTCTCTGTCTCGTGACATGCCACGTTTGTTTGTGATTTTCGCCCATGTGCCTTTGTAGGATGAGTACCATGGCTTTTCCTGTGCTTGAGAATGTACTTGAACCCATGACAAACAAAGAAGAGAAAGAGAAAGAGAAAGGAAAAAAGGTACATTTGAACATGAATAGTCTACTACGTGTATCTGATAAACCTTCCCTCGCCAACTTTGAGAGCGTACCTGCCTACTGTGTGTAAAGAAAGGTACATCAAGTTTATTAGTGTAGTTGTCTTGTGCGTAGTTAGGTACCTTGACCTGCCGTCAGTCAAACGCCCGAACCTAGAAACTCCACCTAAGCACATCCCTCGCGCCTGTCATTTAGCTAGGCGTGATTTGTTTAAATCAAAGCAGACGAGCTACGTACCGTTCTCTGCAAGCTGCTTCCCTGTCGGCCATGCCACTGCATCCCTTCCCATCTGCCCCATCTCTGATAATTTCCCGACCCCGTCTTGCCCGTCGAAGTCTTCTGCCACCACAAGTAGATTTCAACATTTCAGACGCCGCCGCCATTCTCTGGACAAACTCCCACTCACCACAACCACGTCGCTTGAACCCATAAACGACGCGAAAATCACACAGATCCTTCTGATCGTCTCAACTACGTCTACTCGACTGCCGCAACCCGCATCATTCGCCTGCAATTGACCGCGGCGCAAATCTCATCTATCCCACCAACGGGCCGCCAAAGACCACGACGACCACACACCGAACCAAGTCTCTGGCTGCGTAGAGTCACATTTTACGATAGGATACCCAGTGCACCACAACTGAGCTGTACCAACACCACCTCGACAGTCAAAAGAAGAAGGAAAAAGAGAAGCCGAAGAATTTTTTTTCTTCTTTTTCTATATTCCTCTTCTTCGTCTTTCCTTTTTCTTCTATTCTATTTTCGATCCTTCGACTCTCTTGTCCTCAACTATTTCCCTTGTACTTCTCCTTGATTGGACGCGGCGCACATTTTGGAGCAAAACCTCAATCCTGCAGCAGACACAAAGTATTTACTACATTAGCCTGTAAATACGCAATCCTGAGAAGCAGATTTTTTTTTTCTGCAGGAAATTGCTCGACGGATCCAACTCGACTGGGCAGTAAGGACGGGACGCCAACCCTGCAGCTTGCTCCAAGTGTTCGCAGAATAGAATACAGCCTGCCAGACCTAAGAGCTGGGCTGGTCCGTTGTGCCGAACGGGAGGAGTGAAAGAAAAAAAAAACGACAGAATTGTCAATCTGTCGTCGTGGATGTCTATCTGACGCTGATACCCCCAACTTGGAGCACCCCGAAAAAGCGACTTGCAGGTGCATGCCACCTTTGCCAGCTCATCAATTCGACGTTGACTATTGCAACGCGACCCATACCCGTCCCTTCTTCGACGCCTGGTCGCCTGGGGGCGCGCACACATGCTGTACGGCAGGTCCATACAGCAGCGGTAGCTTGACGCACCCGCTTCGGAACACAGTACCTGTACTCCCGCAGTACTTACTCTGCCCCGGCCATTCACCTTGGCCGCCGGCATTTGACTGGACCCCCTCAAAGAGGCGTCCCATTCGACATATCGTGAGAGGCCTTGATTGACCTATTGCAGTATTGGTTTGGTTGTATAAAGCATCTTGGTCCCAGATCATCGGTCTGATCACTATACGGGTACGGCCTTGCCCGTTTTGATTTTCAGCACATTCTCTTTCCTTGGTCCGGCCTACAGCCAATTGTATCTTTGCCAAATCATGAGGCGGGTAACTTGAAAGAGCAAGAAACCCCCCAAATACCTGTATAAATGTCCGTCCATGTCATCTAAGTGGATTTGTATTTGCCGCATACCCCCCGACGTGCAGCACAAACTATAACGCTTGCCGGCATATCATCCCCACAGCTTGGCATCATGTCTTCCGCTTCATACTCTCAACCACCTCGATCGAGTCCTGGCTCACAGGCGTCGGTATCTACACCGGTCCTGGCCTCACAAGGGTCTATCATGCGTCGTACCCGTCCTAGCCAGGTCCACACGGCTCTTCAACAAGCATATGGCATACCTGCCTCTGGCCCTACTTCAGCCATAAGTGCCTCCTCGGTGGCATCTAGTTCTCTGCATGACTCTCCCATGATGTCTCCGGAGAACATGATTTTAACCAACAGCAGTTCGATACAACCATCACCTGAGCCCTTTCGTGGTCGTGATGCTGAACAATTTCCACCAACACCGCTCACACTCGGCGACCCTCTGCTCAACCGCAAGCCCAGTTCCACTTCTATGAATCCCAGCATAGCTCCCAGCTCAGCCCCTAGCAGTAGTTCCATGGCGGAGGCTCTCCAGAATCAGAAAGGCAGTAACGGCAATTTGATTCGTAAACTATCAAACAAGACAACAAATATGGTGAGGGGTATGAGCGTTCGCACTCGAAGACAGTCGTCTGTCGCGCCCAAGAGTCGAGATGGGAGTATCGGCCCGGGAATCCTGCGGCGGAGGAGTGATAGCACCAACACCGCTCCCGCCGAAAACGTTTTCCTCACGGACTCTGACGAAGAATACCCGCCCGCTGACGAGCGAGAGGCATTTGTCAATGCACTAGGTCTCATTGACGGCCCACTGCGGGAGGTGTCGTCCACAAGTAACCCCGGTTCAGTATCTGGCACCGCTTCTCCAGTTGATCCCACAGCAGGACCAGTCATCCCCTTGGCTTTGATCAAAGGCACCTACGTGCGCAAAATCTCCAAAAAGAGAAGATTCAAGAAGATCTTGCTGGTTCTGGATAATGAGTCTGCCAGGATCACCTGGGACAGAAACCGACCTTCCAAGTGCATCTATGTTGATGACATCAGAGAGATACGGATAGGCTCCGACACCAGACAGTATTGCTTGGACTTTGATGTGCCCGCCTCGGAGCAGTGCCGTTTCTTCTCGATCCTGTATGCTGTCTCGGACAAGTCAAAAAGCAAGACCATGCATCTCATCGCCGATGATGATGAGACTTTCGCCAACTGGGTCGAAGCTCTAGAGGCCCTCTCGAAGCATCGAGAAGAGCTGATGACTTCGCTCATGTCTTTCAACGACAAGGCCATTCGAGCGTATTGGAGCTCCGAAATGGCAAAGACTTGGGACGGCAAACCGCACTTGCCTGATGATGAGGTCCTCGACTTCACAGGCGTCGAACGCGTTTGTCGCCACTTACATATCCACGTCCGACGACAGGACCTACTGGAGAAATTCAGCTCCGCTGACGTTTACCGAAGAGGTCAACTCAACTTTGCCCAATTTCAAGACTTTGTCCGTAAGATGACGCACAGGGTCGACATCCGTGCTTTGTACCGGGGAATAGCCATCGACACTGCAATCGGTATCAGCTGGCCAGAATTTTCCTACTTTCTTCGCGATACACAGGGCGAAGACGTTGACTCGGATCCTCGGGCATGGGAGGCAAAGTTCAACCGATTTGCGCGTAGGATGAAATCCCTCGACGGAGGGGAGAATGATGTCCCAAGAATGAGTGAGCAAGGCCTCGCAGCATACTTGACTTCGACCTATAACCTCGCTCTCGCCTCGGAACCAGCAGAGTATACCCTTGATCGACCTATGCACGAATACTTCATTTCGAGCTCCCACAATACCTACCTTGTTGGACGTCAAGTCGCTGATTTGTCGAGTGTTGAGGGATACATCAACGCGCTGATGAGGAGGTGCAGGAGCATTGAGGTCGATTGCTGGGACGGCCCTGACGGACAGCCCTCGGTCCAGCACGGTTATGCCATGACCAATGCCATCTCCTTCCGGGAAGTCATCAACGTCGTCAACAAGTACGCTTTTGTGACGAGCAAATTTCCATTGTGGATATCACTCGAGGTTCACTGCAGTCCTGCCCAGCAGACTATCATGTCGGACACAATGAAGGAGATTTTCGGATCTCGCTTGATTCTGACCGCGCTCGATCCATCCTCCGACAAACTGCCATCACCATCCGAACTCAAAGAGCGCATACTTGTGAAGGTCAAAGCGGCTGCTCCTGAGGAGCAGCGCACCGGCAGGGGTTCATCTACTAGTGGTCGACGTCGAGGAAACAGCTTAACCTCTCCGTACACGAAACCTCTAGCTGCCGATAATTCTACCATCCCTTCCTATTCTCTGACCCAAAGTCCCATGCTTGGCCCGCGTGAACACTCGAGACGCAGAGTTGGCAAGCGATACAACACGATTACCGAGGGCGAGGTCCAGGAGACAGTCAGCAGCAGTACGAGCGATTGCGACAGCGGCAACGAAAAGACGCCAGGCAAGAAGAAGACGAGCCGGATTGTCCCAGCGCTAGGAGATCTTGGTGTGTACTGCACTGGTGTGAGCTTCAACGGTTTCGATTCTCTCGAATGCAAGATGCCCTACCATATTCTATCATTCATGGAAGGCACATTCAAATCAAACACGAAGACCAAGGAGCTCAAGGATCAGTTGTATCGTCACAATATGCGATACATGATGCGTGTCTATCCTCAGTTCTCCCGGTTGAGCTCGAACAACTTCAATCCCTTGATGTACTGGAGAAAGGGTGTTCAGATGGCGGCATTGAATTGGCAGACATTTGACCTCGGCATGCAGCTTAATCGAGCCATGTTTGACGGCGGCAGTGACCAGTCTGGTTATGTTCTCAAGCCTCACTCCATGAGAGAGATTCGAATGCTCCCCGATGGTCTTCCAGCCGAGGCTGTTGGCAAGCTTGTGCGCAAAAATGTCACATTTAGCATCGATGTCATCTCTGCGCAGCAGCTCATGCGACCAGGCAATCTTGCTTCCAACAGGACCCTCGACCCTTATGTGGAAGTGGAGGTCTTTCACGCTAATGACAAGAGGGACAAGCACGACAGCACTGTGGGCATTCCTGCACCCATGGACAGCCCTCTGAAGCGTACCACCAGCGTTGTGAGAGAGAATGGCTTCAACCCCGTCTTTGATGAGAAGATGAAGTTCCGCATCACCACGAAGTATCCCGAGCTCGTTTTTATTCGTTGGAGCGTCAAATTTTCCACAACAGGGGAGCCCAACGACCGCGCCCCTACAATGGCCACATTTACTGCCAAGCTGAGCAGTCTCAAGCATGGCTATCGCACGTTGCCTCTCCTAGATGCCAACGGCGATCGTTATTTGTTTTCGACGCTATTCTGCCGTATCGAGCTTGGTCCTACCACAGACGTCTACGTGAATCCTGGAGATAGTGTGGAGTCTGTAGGCAAGTTCAAAACACTCGGCAGCAAAGTTTTCAACCGATCCAACACAAACAACAGAGCGGCTTCAGAGAAGTCCTTCGAAAAGTCCAGTCTTGACAGCGGGTGCTCAGAACTCTCGCAACAGTCGGCGGGCAGAACCTGATTTATAATCTGTATAGCACGCACTGTCCAGTCAAGTCATCATTTGACTCATGTACAACAAAACAGCTCACGATACGGGTTTCTCGATTGTACAAAAGTAACGAACTCCGCGGTTTACCTGTCGATTCAATTTGTAGCGGATACCCATTTGAGCATGACTGAGAATCGGCGTTTTCAAAGTTATCCGCAAGCTGGCCATTTTGTGGATATGCGATTCTGTTTGAGACGAATTGCAGCATGGTTTTGCATTGTTACCACCAGGCCCGGTCAGGCCGGCAGAGCCTTTGGACGGCAGGACTGAAACGACATATAGAGGGACTCGCATATCAAAGGTGTTTTCATTTTGTGTTTCCATTTGCAAGGGATGAGAAAGTTAGAATTGGGAAAAAAACGAACAAAAAAGTATTTGTATGTCTGCATTTGAAAGGGGCACTCGGGCCAGGCATAGGACGAGCAGCATTAAGGGTTCCAGGGTGTTTTTGGGTTCATGTTGGTCGTACAGTACCACAGGTGTTTTCTTGTTTTACATTGCCGAGCGTTCTGCACTGCAATTCCATTGTGGCATTTCCGAGGACTCAGGGTTTAGGACACAACCAATGACTTTGTGCTCTGCAGCTGGGAATGACAAATCATTCCTGGGGCGGAGATGAGCAAAGAGTTGTCACGAACACACCATGTGTGTTTTAGATACCAGATACGAACAGAAATCAATTGATCGAGGACGCCACGGTGTACCTCCATGATGAGAATTACAATTGTCTTGGTCGTTGTCACCACTGCTCTGAACGGTACAAGCAATTCCTCAACACGTGATGCACCTGTCACTGATGATTGCACCTTGGTCCACTATCAATTCGACAAGCCAGGATGTTGAATCCAGTAGTAGGACACTTGCAAGGCTTATTCGTCTCATCGTGAGACATTGTATATCTGATTCATGAACTTTTCGCTCGTCGAATGCATGAGAATCCGGCGGCGAAGAAGAGCCCCAATCCCAATTGGGACGCTTATGCGTCCTTAGAGGATGGACAAAGGTAGGTGTGTATGTATAATATGTACCTGCAGTCACACGACCCCTGTCTTTCTGACCCGAAATGTCGGGTCCTATCCTAGGCAGCAAGAATTTGCAGTCTGGAATTTTTAAAACAGCGAGAATTACTTGATAGGCACAGATTACCAGTGACATTTATGCGGCATCGAGGTCACTGTATGTTTTCGATCCAATATTATATCTCGCTTGGGAGGGGGGAGGGGGGCAAAGAAAGAATCAAGGGGGGTGTCCTTGAAAGGGAACAACAGGAAAAAGAAAAGAAAACCCCCGATGAATAGCGGTAAGCCGGCCCGCTGCAGTGTGGCGCTGTCGAAAAATCGTCGCTTATGCTCTGTCTTTTTCAGCTGCTGGAAATATTTGGCGCATAGCGGACAGGGCAAGGGTTGAAATTCGCCTCCCGGGGTCTGATTCTTGTTTTTTTCTTCTTCTTTCTGACTATGAATAAGGGTTCGTATTCTTTGAGTACATCTGCGTACGAAGTACATACTAGTCTGTGCTTGAATCTCACACTGTATCCTGTCATCGTTATGCAAGCCTAGGGTATGATTGAGATATTTTTACAGCCCCCCCTGCATCTGATGCGATGCGTTGGAAGGATGACGGGTTCTAGAATATCTCGCGAAAAAAAAAAGGCCTGCACTTTTGTCACATGCTTGATCCATGTATTGATGAGCTCATGAATACTTTCTTTGTTGCATGCCAATTCTTGAGTGATTTTCGATGGAATGGATCCCGCATTTTTGATGAAATGGCCTGATACGGCCGAGGGCAGTAATCATATTGATATGCGCTCGTGGGCAAAGACCGATTGAACTTTGGGCTGCTCAGAGTCTTCCGTTCCAGGGGCAGAGTCCTCGAGAACACTATACAGTAACAAACATTGAAGCACATGACCCCACGGCCTGGCACAATCGCAATAATCTCTTGAAATACCAATAGTTCACAAAGGACCAGCTTAAGAGAGGGACGTTACTCAATGTTATTATACGTTTATACAATGTCTGATGACTTTGCAATTCCATCAATACCGCTTTTGACTGGCAGGCTCCCCTCGTGCACTGCTGGGATGTAGCCCTGAGCCATGCTTGCGGGCATGATGATAAACCTGGTGGCCTATTTTTTGGTCAATTCGATCTGCATGTGTATTGACGACACCTTCCAGTCTTTTATAGCCAGTCCAGTGGTTGTGATGGTACATTGCAGTGCATCCTCACAAGATTTCGTTCACAAGCAGACTTTTGCTGCTAGTATTAGTACCTATTTCTTTGGAGCGGGCTTCTCCCGCCAGTACTTTGTTGCTTGACGACTGTTGAGTAAAAGATTCCATACCTACTCAGCCTTATTAATGAGGAGTACCAAGTACCGCAACGGCCCGTTCGGTTGTGTATTGCTTCTTCCACTATTTGTGCTATTGCTGGACCGGCAGCAATTCCGCCTAGAGGGAACCTCGACAAGCTCCCGAGGCCGGTCCAACTCATTTGAATTGTTACAAGGCTTAGACCACGAGTCGTATTGTTTTTCTACAAGACTAGAACTGATTATACCTGGGGCTAGGACGTTATACCAGCACTGCGCGAAATGAGGAGATTGCTGGAAAATTCTTCAACATGCCGTGGGAGCCAAAAGATATAGTTGTAATGATCTTCTGGCTCGGTCATATGTTTTCTTCGTCTGATGAATTGCCTTCCACTCTTTTGTACGACTTCCTCGAGAGGCCTAAAGAACTGCCGTCCCTGTTATGTTCAAGATGGTGGCTGATATCACGGTTGTGCCAACAAGGACCGATCTACGCAGTCTTCCAAATTCCTCGAGCATGAGCTCCTTGATTGCTACAGACCCGGTCTCTCAATCTCTTAAGTATTATGCAAATCTCACTCAAGTCAATTTAAAAGGGAAGATGTAATCCAAGAAGCGTGACGGATGTCTAAGTTAATCCTGACGAGATACGAAGTAGAATTGATGACGAGCTATCTGATATACATGAGCAGGGGATCTGCAGTGGGTACTGAATACATTAGTGCAACAGCAATAGAGCAATACATATAGATCCTGAGTTGAAAGAAACAGAGACCCTTAAATCTGGCATTTCCACGCACTCCTCAGAACCGCGGATTTGTTTGGTTAATGTAGCGGACAGGCATCAAAAGGTAGCTGTCGTACTGTCCACCAAAATGAATGACATGGGTGCCATTGTTACGTGTAATTGGCGTGGCAACTCTCTGCTCATTGACATAGTCTGGGTAGTCGTTACCTCCAAGAATGATTGTGGAAACATTTTGCCCCGGTGGATAAGTTCCACCACTACGTGGCACGAGGATTCTCGCGGTGCCGTAGCCAAGATCGGCGTTGGTCGGAGTGATTGGGGCCGGTGCCACGGTGACGGCAATCTTCTCATCTGGGTGTACACGCAGAGCCATCGGCCAGACGCCGATTTCCACGGGAACAATGTCCCCGCTTTGAAGAAGTTGCTCGGAAGTGTGCAAGAGATACGGCTCAAAGGGCGTGGAACGCGTCTCGTCAATGGCTCTCTGGGAGACCCTCAACTTGCCGGACGCGCCGACAATGGTGCTACTCTCAACCCCTGCATTACTTTCATACGGGTTGCCATTGTGGTCCAACTTTTGTACCGTGATGGAAAGTTCCATATCATCTGATCCCTCGGCTTCGACCCATAGACGGAGCTTCATATAGCCGATAATCTCCAGAGCTTCATCCACGTCGTAGGTGAATGTCGTACCGACGGTGGAACTTGCATTATAAGAGACGCTGTCATCAGTCTCGTACGTGTCGTCGGCAAGAGTGTTGTTGGCTTGCAAGTACATGGTGCGCGGCACTACGTTGGTAACGGGCCAATTGTCCTCCGCCTGGTCAACGGTGTCGCCTTGACTCGGATCCAGAATAGAGATGCGAATTCTTGGTGTTTGGCTCCAGCCATTGACCTTTTCTTTCAAAAAATAGTCGAAGAAGGATGTGAGCTCCTCAACGTGTGTGCTTTCGTAGTAGTCGGGCCACTCGGACGAGTTGTGAACTCGCAGCCACTTCTCTGTGGACTGAATGCGACGAAACCCATCGAATGAACCATGTGTATGCAACTCATTGGTGTAGCTCGCAACGACATAAGCGGGAATCGATATATTTTCCACTTGAGCAATCTTATCCTCCCAATATTCGTTCATGAGAATCTCATTGACACACATGCGAGGGATGTCTTCTGCGTAATTCTTTCCTCCAAAGGCCGTCAGGATGATTTCTTGAAATCCGGGCGCGGGAGATCCGCCACGATTGGAAACATCGCGAAAGAGGTCTGTCAACCCTTCCCACGGTGCAATGGCCGTCAAGTGTGGAGGCTGCTCGGCGGCGATGAACCATTGGGAGATGGCGAGCCAGGAGTTGCCCGACATGCCGACTTTGCCGGAACTCCAAGGCTGTGCCGCGACCCACTCGATGAAGTCGTAACCGTCTTCGGCAAGTTGCCGGCCAAAGGTTGTAATGTTCCCTTCTGATGAATAAGCTCCGCGGGCGTCCGCATTAAGAACAACGTATCCCTGGTTAACCCAGTACGCCGGATCGGGTCCCTCAAACTTTTGCAGTTCCGAAACAGTCGACAGGGCGACACCGGTGCGATTGACTGTATCGTCCAGCCATTGGCCGCCGACTTCCTTGCCATAGGGGCTCCACGCCACAATGGCGGGATACGGCCCAGGGCCAGTAGTAGGGCGAAACACGTCGGTATACATGATACTGCCGTCTCGTAGGGCCACGGGGACATCGCGCTCGAACAGAATATCACACATGAGTGGTCGCGCACCTTCTCGACGAATGGTGCCGTTCTTGAGGACGAGGGTTTGCGGCTGGAAACCTGGATATCGAGCGCGCGGCGCCTCCAGGTCCTGTACTCGTCGCCAAATGGTAGGGTACGAATCATTTCCATAGACACGACTTGGACCCTGAACAATCTCGACGGCGGCTTCTGAGCCATTGACTCCCGCCAGCGATGTATCCGTAAGAATCGGAAGAATTGTGATCAATGACAAGGCATTGGGAAGGAGACGACTCCAAATCGAGCGTGCCATCTTGATATTGGGCAAGTTACTTTCTCTTTGAGACTCGGAGAGTTGAGGGGAATGCTTTGATCACTAGAGGTCTTGTACGCATTCTTCGTAGAAATGAAAAACAACGACCATTAAATATCCAATCTCTTCCTGTTGAACTCATGCCCATCATCCAAGAAGAATCAATGTGAACATGATTTCAGTAGACGGAAGCACCGGTACCTGGCTCAAACCGAGGCATTGACTTGAATCCGGCAAATGGGATCGGTGTCGAAAGTAGCAACTGATCCCAGCTCAGCGTGTACGAAATGTAAAAGTACTCGTCCATTGTTGATGCCTTGTAAGGCTCATAGGTCGGCTCGTATAGAGTATATGAGAAACGTGGAGATCGTGGAGATCGTGGGGATGTTGGTAGCATTCGCCCACACAATCCTACCCGACTACAATATTATAATATTGTCTATATGCATCGCCGTGGGGAATCTGGGGTTTTCAGATCAATCACTACTGATATTTCGAGGACACGCAGGGATATGAGCCTGCGGATGTTAATGGCCGACTACCGGGGTTTCCATCATCGCGACTTACAGCGTCTAGATAGAAATGCATCATTCTTGACATTCTCCAGCGTCCATTTTTGTTGTGTCGTCGGGCAATTATCGAGCGTCAAGATCTTGCATAACACCAGCGGAGTGGATTCCGCCGTTGGGCTCCGACACTATCCGGACCCTTAGGTACCTACCTGCCAAGCACTGGCCGACTCATATAGAAGCTATCGACTATCAGCTCATCAGCAGGCTTCTGAAGAATAGCAGACTGGAGCTTTGCGCCGATTCATGGAAATTCTCAGAGTCAAGCGTCTTTTCCTGAACGGGCAAATTGCGTATCTCAGTGAATCTCAGACTCGTCGTAACAACCATGCGCTTTCTCATGTGGAAAGAGAGGGCGATCTCACCAGGATAGTCGGACACGGAGCCGTTGCAAACACTCCGAGCCTCGCTTCTAATGATAAGCCGAATCCCCGATGTTGAAAGTCATGTGATAGAAAGTCATACCGCGTACGTCATCAGGTTCTGAATTCATCACTTTGGATGCTATCAAGACTGTGGCAATATCTTGGTTCTCCGTTCCTCTGGCGCATAGTGTGGACAACGTGTCGTCGGTAGGCACTTCGCATCCAAAGGTTGACAAAGAAAAGAGAAGCAGACACAGCAGAGAATATAGGGCAAATGTATGATATTGTAAAAATTCGCTTTGCGTATACATTTCAATTTATATACAATTGCGGAACGGGCAGGAATGCCTTGAAAATATGACACTGGGCTTATCAACATGAAATTATCTCCAAATCGTGGATCGTCTAACTATGGAACGGAACCGGTGGCTATCCGATGCTCAAAATACACCCAGTCGCACAGCCTGGGCCAATTACCGATCTCACAATGCTCATTCAAGATAATAACCATGTTAATCTTCCATATCCCTTCCTCTTCCTCCGCCATTTCTTATTGGAACGATAATTTGGTGATAGGAGTTAGTTCTTGGGTGGAATGATTGGTAGGCGTAAAAAGTTTACACAACCCGGACCAAAATGCAGATGGTTCAAACCACGAAGGTCACTAGGTGATCTGCCAGGATAGACATTTGAGCAAAGATTCGGATGTAGAAATGGGTGACTAACCTATCATCTGGGTCTGTATGCATGAAAAGTCCACTTCCGTCCGTGTCCTTGGAGCTAATTTCAAACGAGAGTTTGCTGCCAGCGGTCACAACTAAATTTGTTGGCCAAAGCTCCACGTCGACGGAATATATCTCGCCGCAGACGACCGGTAGTACATCGGCTGAGGTGTAATCTCGATGTGGTTGCCATGGCCGATGGTGAGGGTGTCGCGGGTTCGTTTGGCGCAGAGCAAGACGCAGGGAACCTTTTGTGGCCGGGACGCCCTCACCTCCAGATCCAGTGTACAATATCTCTTTCCCATCGGGAGCAAAATGCCGAAGACTGACAAAGAGGTCCATGCCAGATGGCGCGGTCTCCGACGTTCCTTGACTAATAGATACGTTCAAGTGTGCCACAATATGACCTGCCCGAGAATCAGAATGCTGCGTACATTAAGTTGAGTGTTGACGAAACTAGAACACTTGGACCCGAAGACTGCCCAAATCAAAGTGAAAGAAGGTTTCCACTGTTTACATACCAGTGATTTCAAGCTCCTGGGAAAATGGCTCGGTGTCGAATGATATGGCCGTCTTGCCATCTCCAAAAGCCTCATAGCTTAGATCTGTGCTCCTAGTAGCATCGGGCTTGCGAAATTGGAGGTTGTTATCCTCGGTCAGAAAGAAATCCGTGTACTCTGTCCTGGACAAAGGCCACTCGTCCTCGTCCCTTTGTAGAAAAGTGGCCTCAGCGATCGGATCATTGAATCCGACATTGCCTTTTCGGATGACCATATTGATAGCAGGAATCTTGCCTCTTTCTGCCCATCCGAGACTATCTTTCCCCTTCAAGAAAGCGTCGAGAAAGCTCTTTTGAATTTCGACTGCCTCGGGTGAATAGAAAGGCAGATCATGACGTCCTACGATGAATCTGAGGTACTTGAATTCCGAGCTGGCTAGGGTAAAAGCCCGTACATTGCCCCTAAGGTGTAGCAGGATGCCACCCCAATTGGCAACACTGAGCAGAGGCACTTGGATATCTTCCAATCGAAAATTTGTTTTCGTAAAGAATTCGTTATCCCGATACTTGAAGGCATGGTACGCGGCGGGGTTTGTGGCGCGATTGGCTGCGAGTTCCTCTGGGGACAAATCTCCGTCAATGGTATCAGGGCCCCAATTCCGAGAAGCGCGGCCGGGCAAACCATACTGATTCGGAGCGATTTGGCGGGCATACCAGATCTGGAAGAATGTGTTTGAGAGTATCCCACCGTGTCGGCATGCTTCGCTGTACATGTCCGAGAACCCTTCCCACGGAACAATGGCAGCCAATCCTCGAGGCTTCCGGGCCGCTACTGGCCATTGCATGCCAGCGTAATAACTTATACCAAGTAGGCCAACTTTGCCGCTGGACCAAGGTTGATCGGCCGCCCATTCGATCAAGTCGCAAAAGGCATTGACGGTGGTCTTGGACAAAAAGTCGAGAACCCCCGGTGATTGTCCGATCCCTGGCTCGTCGGCTCGTACGACAACATATCCTTGAGCTGTCCAATACCCAGGAGTTGGCGTTTCCCAAGCTGAGTGTTCGGTCTGATGTTCTTCAGGTAATTCGGCAAAACTTTTTGGATTGAATCTGTCCACACAACGGTCAGCAGCAGTCTCTCTGGCAAGTAAGAATCGGACGATATCACCCACACTGAATATGGAACGTCTTTTCCATATGGCCCCAGCGTAGCAATCACTGGGTATTTCCGACTGGAGTCGACGTCCTTGGGTCGATATACGTTGCAGCGCAAGACGCCACCTGATTGCAGGGGAACAGAGACATTTTGTTCAAAAATATAGGAATATGAAGCTGAATCAATGGTGGAAATATCTCGGTATTGAGACGTGGACATGTTTGTGAAGTTGGTATTTAGGTGGTTAAAGCCTTTGTCAATTTCATGAATTCCTCTTCGATGTCTTGGAAATGAGTCCTGAAATTGACTGGATTATGCTGCTCTATGTATCTTGTGATAGAAGAGAGGACCTAGCTGCCTTTACTTGACACAGCTTCACACAGGCAAACCCTGCGGAGTATAACCATATTCCCCTTCTCCGTACTACTACCTCGGCATTTTACATTTATTAAATTCAACGGGAAATCCATATCTCCGGTCTAATATACCGAGTGTCGGAATATTGACAATATCGTGGGCGGCAAAGCTCCGTCTCCGTTACTATGCGCAGTTACCCTGAGGGACCTCGGGACTCCGTCCTCTGTAGTGCTACCCTAGCGGAAGCCCCACCATAATGGACTTACCAGCTGGCACTGGAGTGGGTGGTGGCGAGTGGCCCACTGTAGCACCAGGGGCGGGGCCATTTAGTGGTGGCCAGTTGCTGCCATTACACTGGCATCCAGTCAACAACTGCCAGATAGTAAGCATCAATGAACTACCTTGACTGTTCACCTTCGGTCAAGGGCCAGCATAAGCATGCGAACTTCCCAGAGACGATCATTGGCTTGTGTAGGTACGTCTCAATTGAAATCAAACATCCGTGTTGCGACTCATCGGCTCTGACCATGTTCCAGAATGTACAAAGAGGAAAGTCAAGTGCGACAAGCAGGTGCCCTGTTCGCGATGTAGCCGGCTACAACTGCAGTGTTACCGAGAAAAGGTCCGCCTAAAAAGGAGTGTTCTTCAGCACGAGAGTCAGATCGATTTCTTGAATGAAATCATCACTGATCTTGAGACCTCGGCGCAGCAACTCGTCCTGAGCACCACCATTGGCAAACTGAAAGCACGTGTGCAACTTTTACAGTTTGGAGACGAGCAAATCAGCCAGGGGTCCAGAGAGGGTACGCCAATCGCACCCGTGTCAGAGACTTTGCCCGCCCAGACCCATGAGCCCGAGAGCAATCCGCGGGCTGTTCACCATGAAGGTGATCCCTCGCTCATCACTGCCCTGGAACACCTGGCTTGGGGCAGAGTCTCTCGGAACTGTTTTCCCCACCGAACATGTCGATGCGAACACAGAAAACTCGCATTACCAGGCGTGCATATCTCACAAGAGATGGGGCTTCCATTCGTCCCGGACAACCAGGATGCGCGAAGCTTGATTCAATTTCATCTACAACACCTTGCGTGGCATCACAATTGCCTCCATGGGCCAACATTCTCAGAACAATGCGAAAACTTCTGGATATCGGGCGTGGTCGATCATCCGCTATGGCTGGCCCTTTATTTCTCGGTTTTGAGCGCCACCGTGTTTGCAATCCAGAATAGTCAAAAGTCCAAGAACCTGGTCGAGCTTGGAGACGACCTACCCCAGGCGCAGGAACTCTTCTCAAGCATGACCAATGTCCTGTTTCGGTTTCAATTTCTCAGCGACCTGAACATATACTCGGCACAAGCGATTGCGATATCAACCGAGGTAGCCCACAATCTGGGGCAAAGCCAACTCAACGCCACCTTGTTCAATGCCGCCGTGAGAATTGCCGAATGTCTAGGGCTGCATAGAATTGAGGATACGGCGGAGGAAGATTGGGCGACCAAAGCAGAACGTGAAACTGGAAAGAGGGTCTGGTGCCAAGTAACTATTCAAGATCATTTCGCCATCCCCTTTACCGAATCGTATACAATATCCCCAGGTCACGTCTCGACAACTTTTCCATCAAATGCGGATGACCATGATCTCATAGATCAGCCGGAAAATGTACCGACGGTCAGCAGTTATGTACGAGTACTCTCCAAGATGGCGTCTTTGATGCCCGAGATGCTCGATGGCCTCGGTCCCGCCAAGAACGCCCGACCTCTCCAGGAGCAATATATGCATATCTTGAGCATCGACCGGCGCATGAGGGAGACTGTCAAGACATTTCCTTCTTTCTTCCTACGACAAGACTCGGAGAAGGAGATACATTTTCCATGGCTTGGAGTCGCAAGAAAAAGTCTCGCGATTACGGCTGCCGAAAAGATCATCATGATTCATAGACCATTTCTTTTCAGGTCATTCCAAATGCCACTATACGCATTTACCCGAAAAACGTGTACGGCAGCTGCTACGACTATTTTGCGGGAACATGAAGCACTAGTTGTGGCCGATGATCTCTCCATCTGGACACATACGGCGTTTTGCATCACAGCAGCTGTCATACTCTGCTTTGAAATCTACCACGGGTCTGAAACGGACCCAACATCGGCGGACATCCACAGAGTGAACGTTTTAGCTACTCGAAGTCGCCTAGTCACCAGAACGAGCGATCTCCTGGCACAGCGCGGAGTTGTCCTTATCGACTCACTGCTGGAACAGCGCCAGAACAATGCGATTGCAGCTGGTGCCTCTATGGTCGACTTTGACTACATTGCGGCGGCTCTGTATCCCATGAATGATGGACAGGCCCAAAAGCACGGTATCACCGCAAACGAAGCTACCGCAGCAGATGCTGGCCAGTCTGGAGATTTTCTCGCAGATCATGGATACATTGATGCTGGATTCGACTCATGGTTCAACGAAATGTTTCTCGATACCAATATCTACTTTGATTCATAGCTACCCTTGAGATAGACCCTTTGGAATATTGAGCAGCCGACATTTTGCATAAGCCAGGCACAATTACGCACTCCGTCAGGATGGCATGATGGCCCACCTGGTAAACCTTTCTGCGACCAATAACAACAGTCAACCTTCTCATGTGCTTGAGTTACTGAATGGTTTTCATCTTCTCTTCCGTCTGACCTTTTCACTAGCCAGGTAAGACGCCGTCATGAAAAGAAATCATTGTGCAGCAATGAGTTGTTCACGTTAAAATACGATTTCAAGACATTACATTTTGCATTTCTATTTGATCTCTGACTGTAACTTTCTAGGAGAGTCATTCAAGTTCGTCTCTAGCATTTATTTGTTACAACCTTTTTCCCCATCCAATCGCCCTCCTCAGCTCAAGCTTGCGCCCGCACGAAACCTGTCGCGTTTACGCCGGGATAGTCACGGAAAGGCTTGGGCGGCTCTCCACTAGTCATGGTGCATTGCCAGAGCAGGCGCTGCTTGTCCTTGGCATCGTGCTGCTCGAGCTGGCCGGTGATGCTGTGCATGACGCCGCGGTTGTGGAAGATGACGAGGTCGCCCTCAATCCAGCGGTGTGCGTAAATGTGCTTGGCCGCGTAGATCTTCTTTTGCATGTTGTAGACAATCTTGCGAACCTCCTCCACGTCGTCAATGACGGTCTCCTCGCCTGTCTGCGGGTTGCGCGTCGTGAGTTTGTATACGCAGCAGCCGTGAACCTGTAGGAAGGGTCGGGAGGGGTTGAGGGGGTTCTTCCAGACCATCTTTCTCAACTATTAGCATGGCACATTCGGATGAAACTGTACATGGCAAAACTTACAGGGTGCTCTGCCACTTTGTCCCACTGCCACTCCGAGACTTGGTCAACAGGGACCTCGCGGCCAAGAGTAGGGATAGTCAGGCCGTCCTCGGACGACTTGCACTGTCTGATGTACTCATAGGCTTGCGGGGCGTATGTTACTGTTGTGTTGAGAGCGAATTCTTGCTCTTCGGGCGTCAAGAGATCGAAAGCACGGGCACCTGAGAAGACTAAAAGAGAGTCAGCAGGGGCAATTCAGAGAGCAAAGACTGCAGCTCTCAATCTTTGACTTACAGGCCGTGGCGCCAGCGCCAATCTCCTTCTCTCCGTCTGGAAACTTGATCTTCTGGTCCGGGATCTTGGGGATCTGGATCGAGTGCAAGACTGTCACCTCGCCGGGCAATCTCTCATAGAAGGGTGTGTCCATGTGCCACCGGTAGGGTCTTGTGAAACCGCTGTCTAGCTCCTCCTTTTCCAGAGGAGTCTCGTGGAACAAGGTGTGGTCCTAGAACATTGTCAATCAAACTTGCAATTCAACATATTGGAATTAGTATCCTACTCACCAGGTGGATGACCTCCAATTCCGGAATGCCCTCGTAGTTCTGAAACTTGCCGGATCCAATGATACCAACCTGCGGCGCCTTGGGGATACGACCGGCCTTGTAGGCCGAGAGAATGTTTCTCGGGTCGCTGACGGCCTTTTCTCCGGCCGAGTGGATGCCAATGGCGGAATCGTCAAAGATCTTGGCGAGCTCGGGCAGCACCGTTGGGTCGACGCCCTTTTGTCCGCGAATGACAATGACCTGGTTCTCAAAGAGGGCCTGACGGAGCACGTCCTTGTCCTGGGCGGTCAGACGCTCCAGGTCCAGAATGGGCATGTCGCTAGGGAGCTTGATCTCGGCGCCAATGGCCGTGTCTTGTCGGACGTCGGGGCCGAAGACCTCGAAGCTCAAACCCTGGGAAGACATTTTGCTTGAGAAGTATATGAATATGAAAGCTGAATTCAATGGTGGAATAGAAATCTGCAGCTCATCTCAAATCCCTTTGACTGTCTCTTCAAGGCATTATTATAATCGAGCCTTCAAGACCCACAGCGGGTGAGTTGGACATCTCATCCGTGCCAACTTTTGAGTCTCTGCCGGCCCCGTTTGCGAGATCTCGGCACAGACGATTCTCCGTAGTCAATTGAAATGCTAATGCAGTAATTTTACAAGCAGTCTGTTACAAATCATTGGACAGGAGTGGTCAACTATCTCCGGGAAATGTGGATAAGCGGACGAGCTGGAAGACTCACCCGACGCTTGGCCACTTACTAGAGCAAGTCTGGACTTTTGGCATAGCCCCAGTAAATATCATGGGCCAATCATGACTAGGATTTTAGTCTATACCTACCGAGCTGGGCTCGGTTGAGCTGCACAACTCACCCGCTGTGGACCGATAAGATTCACTATATGTATTTGAGGTTGCAAGAATGTCAATCAGGCTGTACATCTGCTCTGTTACTATCCAATACTAGTTCTACCAACATACCTTACAAAATGGCTTCCGAATCTTTTAGCTGCCAACCTATCGCCCGTCCGGCTGGATCGGACATTGATTTCGGTGCTGAAGTCACTGGACTTGACCTTGAGAACTTGACTGGTATGTGGCAGCATGTTGACAAGAATTGCGAAGAGAGTGAAACTGAAGTATAGATTACTAGATGACGATTTCGACAAGCTGCGCGGCGCTCTTTACGAGAACCAAGTTGTAGTCATCCGCAACCAAAAGCAACTCACACCAAAGGCACAATACAGTCTCACACGGAGATTTGATCCCGAGACGGACATTTACAGCCACGGAAAATCCATCGACAAGCGCAGCGTCTTGCACGCCGACTTGAAAACCATTCCCCACCAACCACAAGTCCAGGTCATTGGCCACGGCTTTGTCAAGTCCTTTGAGGGTCTTGAGAACATTCAGCTCAAGCACCCGCACCACAAGACCTTCCACAAGCACCCTATTTCTCCTGAAAAGGATGCAGACTTTACCCACTTTTACCGGTGGCACATTGACTCGGCCATGTACGACCTGGACCCCCCAATGGTGACTTCCCTGCTGGCCGTATCCGTACCCGGCGGGCGGAGACAGACTCTGCTGTACGACGACGGCACCGGCGCGCAAATGGACGTGCCCCTCGGCACCACGGCCTTTTTCAGCGGCTACCGGCTCTACGATCTCTTGTCCGACGACGAAAAGGAGTTTGTACGCGGCAGCAAGGTCGAGTACGCGGCACACCCGTATATTTGGATGAGCAAGGCCAAGGCGCGGTCCAACGGGCTGGGCCTCTTCTCCGACGGCCTCGAGCTGCCCGAGGACCAGCTCCCCGCCGTCGAGGGCGACAAGGTGCGCGTGTACCCCATGGCGTGGCGGAACCCCGTCACGGGCAAGCTGGCCGTCATGGTGTACCCGACGCCGATCCGGCGCATCCACCTGGCCGACGGCACGGTGCTCGAGGATCTGGCCGAGGTGCGCGAGCTCGTGTACAAGCTGCAGCGCCGGGCCATTGACCCGCACCTCGTCTACCCGCACGACTGGAAAGAGGGCGATCTGGTGCTTTTCAACAACCACGGTGTGATGCACTCCATTGTCGGCTCGTTCGGGGAGGGCGAGACGAGGATATTCCGTCAGTGTAATATGGCCGCCAGCCGGCCACCGCAGGGTCCACTCGTCGAGACTGTACAATCATAAATGAAAAGTAATAATAAACAAAAAGATCTCAAATCGATTTTTATCTAAACATGTATGAAATTTGGTGAAAAGTGATGTAATCAAATATTTACTGCTATGGGCAAAATGTGAGAAGAGTCGAATTGACAATAGGGCGCAACGTGGGGACTTGTAGTCAGTGGGGCACATGAAAGTTGACACTTTAAGCATATCAGCATTCCTCATGCAAACCTCTGTTGATGTGCTTCCTTTCTCGTCAATCTCTTTATCCCTTGACCGAACTCAATCTTCAATTTTCCTAAAGAAAAACAGAATAAATAATGTCTCAACTGGTTGGCCACCCCGGTGAGCTGTCTCTTGCCAAGCTCCTCGCTACACTCACCGCGACACTACACCCGGCCCTCTACGTCTTTGCCGTGGTCCGGGACGACGAGTCCAAGCTGCCGCCCTGGTCCAAAGTGCAGATGCTGTTTCGCGAGGCCGATTCCGAGGGCGTCACGGTGATCCTGACCCAAGAGGACGCCGAGGCTTCTGGGTTGGAGTACTGCTTCCCCTGCCGCAAAATCACCCTCGACGTTACGTCCAGTCTCGACGCCGTCGGGTTCATCGCCGTCGTGGCCACCCGGCTGGCTGCCCACGGCATGGGAGTCAATCCTATTAGCGGATTCTATCACGATCACCTTTTTGTGCCACAAGGGAGAGAGGAGGACGCCATGAGGATCATTGCGGAACTGGCCGAGGAGAAGAGGAAGGAGACTGGGTTGCAGGGTTGATGGGGGATTTTCCCAGATGTTTTAGTTGACAAGCTCATCAGTCAAACTGAACTGTGAATGATTGTCGATCCGGGGTTGTCAGCAAGACTAAAAAAGGAAATTCCTCGGTGGGGCCATAGGGCCTGGGATCATATTGAAAAGAAAAAATGTCCGAAGCTTTGAAACGCCATCGACAGAAGAACAATCGACCGCTATTAGACGGGAGTCGGCACTTGCTGCTCCACCCAGCCATAGGGATCTCTTTGGTCCTGGCATGTTTGGCGAAACAAGATAGGAATAAAAACGGAGAGAACCCAGTCCTTACAAGTGTGTATATAATTAAGGTAACCAGTCACCAGTCTCTCCTGTCAGACAAGTATCCTTGTTTCCTGACCTGTCGCGGTTCTTTCCCCAGCTAGCGCATTCTGAAAAGGGGGGCAAAGACATATCGCAGGCCCCTGCAAATGGAGTCTCGATGACAGGATGTCACCCCACTAGCAGTCCTCAATTACCCGTCAACAATGCACAACGATTCAATGCACCGAGTTGGTGACCAACAAATGGAAATGAAAAAGAAAGAAAAGCATGGCGCCAAGTGCTCCCAGGGCAGAATGGACTTCCTCTGGTATTCCAGTAGTTATTGCACATAGTCTGGTCGCCAATGGCTAGACGCAACAACAAAAGCGCTGGCCACGATGGACGACTTGGGAGCAAAGGCAGCCAGGCCACGACGACAACGCAGGGCTCGAGCGCCACGGTAACGCAGCGCGATCAGTACCAGCGTGAATTGACCGCCGCCTGTGCGCGAGCAAATGAAGAACGAGTGCGCCGCTTGCTGACGGAACACGAGCCATGGACTTCGGAAAAGGACAAGGCAGCACTGCGCAAAGCGTTGCAAAAGGCTTCGGCACGACACCAAATCGGCATCATTCGACTACTGCTACACTATGGCGCCGAAGTCGATGCCGGTGCCCCTGATGAGTTCCCTCCACTCTACCGGGCCGCTCAGGCGGGCCAGCGCGCCGTGGTCGAGGAGCTTCTCAAGCACAAGCCGGAGCTGGAAGCGCGTGAGATGCGCACCTGGCAGACGCCTCTGTTTGTCGCCAGCACCAAGGGCTTCCACACCATCGCGGCGTTGCTGTTGGCCAAGGGCGCGCGCGTCGACGCCCAGGATCGAGATGGGCGTACTCCCTTGTTGGCCATTGCCATCAACCCCAACTTCAAGTCGATCGAAACGGCGTCGCTGCTCGCGGACCACGGCGCCAACCTCGAGGCAAAAGACCGAATCGGTCGAACACCTCTACTTTGGGCTGCCACCAACCGCAACTACGAACTCGCCCAGACACTCCTGGAGAAGGGCGCCAATGCATCGGCCGTCAACAACCGCGGCCGCACTGCTCTGCACCTGATTGTCGACAGCAGCAACGGCGGTGGGAGAAGCAGCGGTGACCGGACATCGGCGCCCAAGAGGCCGCGCGAGGAGATGCTACAACTTTTGTTGCAGCACGGTGCTGACGCCAATGCTGCCAGTGATGGTGGCTGGAGACCTCTGCACAATGCCGCCCAAAAGGGGTTGACCTCTATTGTGCAGGTGCTGCTCAATGCTGGTGCCGATATCAATGCCCCGCTGTCCAACGGCATGACTGCCCTGCATTGGGCTGCCTTCAATGGCTTTGAGGAAGTCGCGCAGCTCATATGGTCCTGTCCCGAGGCCGATATGGGCATCAAGGACACATTTGGGCGTGCTGCCTGGTTGTGTGCCGCAGAACGTGGTCATGACGAGCTGGTAGAGCTCCTATCCCCCGGTCACAATAGCCACCGCTTGCCCAAATCCATGCACGAAGCTGCCCAAGCTTTCAACGCTACTGTCGTCGAGTTCAAAGACTTTGGTGAGAAGCAGCGCATCTCTAAGCCTCCGGTTTTCGATTTGCTGTACAGGTGGGATGAGAAGAATAGTCAGCCCGCCGTCCCTCTCTGGGCAGATAATCCTAAGAGCGAGTTCAAATGGATACATCTTCCTGCCAATAATGTAAGCCTATACATCTCATGCTCACTCAATTCTGCAAAATCCCTTTCTGACTAAGTGTTTAGCTTGCATGGGTAGAAACGCTCATGATCAACTGGTTTATCGAATCGGGATGTCGCGATCTCGAAGGGTTCAAAGCCCTCATGAAATGTCTCGAGCAAGAGCATCGCGGCCCATTCCCGCACGCCAATTATATGCGACCCTTCTGCCAGCGAATCTCCTCACAGCACCCCGGTGAAGAAGATGGAGACGCCCCTCCAGGAGGGGACGACATGATGGCCAGCCCGCTTCCCATTAAAATGAAGGACATGCGGCGCAGCACTAGTAATTTGTCACAGTTGACTCTCAGCCAGGGAATACCCGGTGGTGATGGCAAGATTGTCATGTTCATGCCGTACCTTCACTATGAGACAGATGAAAGCCGCCGAAAGATGATGGATGCCATCAAGATTGTGTCGTCGGCTAGTCACGCAAGCTCGCGCGATAAGACACCCGACATGCTGCTTTTGGAGGCATACCTGAACAATAAGCCGTCACTGCATCCGAGGCGAACACTGGACCAATTCTTTTATCGCGGTATTGACACGTCAGCCCGCGACCGAGACCAGGTTGTATACCGCTACTGTGAGGCTCATGGCCACGAACGCAAGGTTTTCATGGTAGACCAGCTTTGGGTTCTTGTTCTTAACAAGGACCTGATCATTACTTGTTTCCCCGAGCGTTGGGACCTACGTAGTCAGAAAGATCCATTGGGAGTACTCGACGGCATTGTGGGTGAAATGAATGCTAAAACTCGACCACCTGTTCGAAGTGTCTACCACCTGGCCATCCTGGTTTCCGGCCGTTGCTCTGGCATGTTCTCGCGACACCGAGCCGATGACCAGGACTATCAATTCCTTGACATGTTTGAGAGTTCCGTCGGCCGCGTGACAGAGGATCTGACGCACCTGTTTCACCACTTTGAGCGAGCCTCATCGCTTAGTCGACAGTGGGCTCGACCTTCTCGCCGGTCCAAGCTGCGCAGCAGCAAGAACAAAAACAAAAAGTCTGCAACGGAGGAGTCCAACTCCTTTGACCGGCTCCTCGACATTGGGACCGAGACATCGCTCCTAACCGAGGTGCGCGACATTCGCGATGAGCTAAATATCCTAACGATGATTCTCAACTCACAGTTGTGGACGCTGGGCGACTTGAAGAATTGTCTGGTCGAGGAATTAAGCCTCAGCGCCGCTTCGAGCCGGCTGATGCGCAACCACGTCAACAACATACACGTCACCGACATCCGCAAGCGCACCCTTGAGCAAGAGCGCCACCTCAAGGTCCACAAGCGCGATATCCAGACCATGGACGAGCAGGCTGAACGCCTATACCAGTCGCTGACGGACTTGCTGGACTTGAAGCAGAAGCACAGTAATGCACTCGAGGCTCGGTTCGCCAGTGAGCAAGCCCTGGCCGCGGCAAGAGAGGGCCAGACGGTCATGGTTTTCACCATTGTTACCATTATCTTTTTGCCCATGTCTTTCATTGCTGCATATTTCGGTATTAATATGGATTCTTTCAGCAACCTTGACAGCGACTATGTGGCGACGTGGACCTTTGGCGGCGGCCTGGCCATTTCAGTCGTCTTCATCTTCATGGCCTTTACCGTGGTCGACATTACAAGGGCTTTTGCCGGGTTCGGCGCCCTGATGAAGCGCGTATTCAACCGGAGCGACGCAGAGCACGACAAGAATAGCGCTGATGATGATGCCAAAGGAGAAGAGGTCGGAGCCAGATTACTGGAGCCTTCTTCGACAAGTCCACTCCACTCACCCGTCTTCCAGCGCAATCAGCCCAGCCCTCCCCTGTCCATGATCAGGACCAACAATACAATGAAGTCGGACGCCATGGAAATGAGCGTCTTTCCAACGACGGAATCGGATCTGGTCAAGATCAAGACGGCCACCAGTATCTTGTCCAAGACGCGATATGCGGTATCAGCAAAGAGCCCGAGAGCCCGTCGTGGATACGGAGACGACGATTTGGAGTGGGGGAGGCACGATCGGGAGCTGAGTGCCGATACTTGCTAATTTTTTATTTCATATGTGCATGATACCTAGATAGTTTGAGATCCTGATGGTTTAGAAGGTTGCGCCAGATATTCTTTGATCAAGAAGCGAAACAGTAGCGATGTTGGAATGAATAATGTAATTCCGTATCTAATATCATTGACAGTAGAGGTCCCCCCGTGTTAATGCCAACTATGATACAAGCCTGGGTGCAAGCAGTACGGGCGGTGTTGACAACCGCAGAAACTTTACACACCATCAACCAATATCTTGAGCATGCACATCCAATCATTTGGTGAAGTTTGGGTTTAATCATTTACAAATGGGGAAATGGCCTTGGACTCGAGTATCAAACTATGAGAATTCACTGAGGGCTCAAAGGACCAAGGACCCTTTCGGCTGTCGGCGCGATAGATTGTTTTTCAAGAGACCAATTGGGTTTTATTGTGGCGTTTTGCGCATCTTTTCAATGGTAGTGACTTAAGCTCCCGCTGAAGCTTGTTGCCATGTATTTCTGGTGCCTGCATTATGGCCGAAGCAGATGAGACACATGTCTTAAGATGCACCAACGGCTCATCGACTCTCGATCTGATACGCATGGTCTCAGCCTTCAATGTGATCGGATGCCGCAGAGTCGGGAACGGACCCTTTCATCCACCAAGTTCGGTTGCCCCGATGCCGTTGATTGGGATACCAAACGCTTGTTCCCTTTACCAGTAATCTTTTCTATCTGTCCAAGGCGAGTCGCTGCAAATGCTCAATTCTGAATGGACCTTGGACGAACAGCGAAGCCGAAATATCCCATCAAGATCTTCACAAGCAGGGAATGATCATACTCAATACACTGAATGCGCCACTACGCTTGAACTATTCAATCCAAAAGAAAGCATGCAGTGTGGCTGGCTGGAATTGTCTTGGAGTCGAAATTGCAGTTGGAGATTCCGTTGGCCACAGGTTGAAAATAATTAACTAACTTAGTGTTTGTAATTTTCTTTTCCATCTTTGCACGTCGTCTAACACGAAACGCATGGCAGCTGATGCGGTGTGATGCAAAATCATACCGCCGGGCTCTCCAAGTATGTAGGTAACTTAATATTTCCTAATACTCCAATATTGGCTGCAAGGCAAATGAGACAAGTAAGGCCTAGTAAGGTGAAGCCTCATGACAAAAATACATGAGGAGTATATAGGTCTGGCATATCGCCAGCTGTTCAGGATATCGATCTGGAAAACCAACAACCCAACTTCATCCTCTCATTACCTCCAAGTACATTTCACCATGGTCCGTTTTCTCGTACTCCTGCTTGGCATCTTGCCTGCCATTGCCTCTGCATACTTTGCTGCTCCATCGATATGCTTTGGTCCCATTCATCCATGGGTATCAGGTTGTTACGGGTATCCTCCAGCCCGCTCTTACTGCTCCAAGCAGTTCCCGCAAAAGACTACGACTAGAACCATAACTGCACCTACACGTACTTTGACCAGTACAGTTGCCACCAGCACAGCTATTTCGACCTTGCCTGGTACCATTACTTCTGTGTAAGATGAAAGACAGAGATGGAGAGACCACAATACTAAATTTTGTTATAGTGTGGGACTTGCTCCCGAAACGATTGTGACTGTCTATACTACCGTCTACACGACGAGCACTGGCACAATCACTGCGACTTCGAGCACAACGTCGACGTCGACTTCAACAGTGACGATCACCAGCACCAGCACCGTGAGGTCTGCACCAACAGTGGTGAAGCGTGATCTTCCCACAGGGGCACCGGCTTTCAAAGAGCTGCTTCTCAAGGGCCGACCCATTATTGAAAAGGTCTGTTCTTGCATCGTCACCAGCCAGGTCACGGCAACGTTTACGACCACGCCGAGTACCACGGTGCGGGTCACGGCCGTGACCACGCACTTGGTTTCCAATGTTGTTTCGACAACCTTGACACCAACCGTTACCACGACATCTACTGTCACGGCTGCTGCGGCTCCAGAGACTATTACTACGACCACGGTATCCACGGCTACAGAAGTTACAACTACAACTGCCACGACTGTGGCCACGGGTAAGATCTCATCTATTCCTATTATAGCAGCAGTACTTTTCTCCCCGCACACGATCGTGAAAACATGAGACTTTGCTAATCTTCGGATTTCACTTCTCCTTCCAGTGGCACCACAACCGCCGAAATGCAATCCCAACAGCCAGTTCGGACAGAGAGGTTCCGGAGGTTGCAGTACTAACTGTTACTGCGATAGAGACATCGACGGGGTCAACTTCTACTGTGACAGCTCCATCTTTTGCCTGGGTGGCTGCCAGAGCGACGCCGACTGCGCTGCTGACCAGTTTTGCGCGACGGGCACGTCTTGCTCGAGCACCAATGGGCGCACATGTCAGAAATACTCGGACTGCACGAGCACCTTTGTACCTCCCGGTGGTGGTGGTCTCCGGCGCAATGCTGGGCTGGAGGCGGTGGCTGCGGTGGAGCGCATGCCTGCGAGGGCTGTACAAGATGGCGTCCAGGAGCTTTCGCACAAGATTAATCATTAAGATAGGCTGTTGTCGGCCCGGAGAGTGGGACAATGGAGTTGAAGAAACACAATTGAGTTCCGTCAATAACTTGATTAATATATTCTTTCTTCTGAATGGCCGGGTACGACTGGATTGCAACCCTGGCGCCTATACGTTTAAGGGATCGTCTCACCTTTACCAGATCATTAGCTTTCAATATGCGGGGAAAGCCCTGGGAATTAGAACAAGGTTTAACCCCCAGACAGATAATCTAGGTGCATAATATGGCCCCGATACCCGAGGGCATTCTATCATCATTCCCCCAAGACAGCCAAATCTCCCTTCATCCGTGAGTTGGACGTTGTCACGACCGCAAGACTTGGATTATTCATGATTGAGAAGAACGCCGAAGGCTGTGGGCTTTGCTTTATGTATTGTGCTTCTGGTGATCTGCGCCTTTGTATTCTGTTTGCTTTTCTAAAAATAATAATACCTCTTTAATAATACTGGAAATTCTTCTAAACTTCCAGTTATGCGTGATGCAAAACAAATATTACAGAGCAGGTACCTACCTGGCGGTGGGGTTTCCCCGCAAAAGGCGACGGGTTCCCCCACACGTACAGCACATTGATGCACCTGCCCTGCCCTGCCTTGAGCTTGGGCACGCTTTTTCCAGCACAAGACGGCCAGAAAACTACATTCACTCACCTCTACAAAATCGAATGAACACGAGACAGATTGGGAGGTTGTGTGCTTTTCATTTTCTTTATAAACATGGGCGACAGATCCCAAGACAATAATAAGCGAGTGAGGCAAGCGTGCATTAGCTGTCGACGAAAGAAGAGCCGTTGTTCCGGCGAACGGCCAACTTGCTCCTTTTGCGCGCGGCTTCGCCAACCTTGTTCCTACAATGATGAACTGCATCCCGTATCGTCAGCACATGCCGACAGTCTCCAACGACAGAATACTGACCTGGCAGCCCGCGTTGCCGTGCTTGAGTCGAAATTAAGTGGTTTGACAGCCGGCGCCAACTCTTCTCCTTCCCTCTTTGACTTCAACACCCCGGTTGCCATCACTGCCACTGCGGCTGGGCCTATTAGTTCTCCGAGCCAAGAGCTCTTCAACAACAGAAGCAGCCCTGGTGATGGCAATAGTTCAGACGGGTGAGTAGAATAGCAATTCTTATGCCATTCGGCGAATTGCCCATCTGACCTAATATTACAGCTCCTTTGAATTTCCCAGCGCAGAGACCTTGCAATCACTGGCAGATGTCTATTTCCGATACTGCCATAACCGGCCGTATTGCTACTTTGAGGAGCATAGCTTCCGAGCGCAGCTCAGAGATGGGTCACTCCCTCAGTACCTGCTGCTGGCATTTGCTGCCACTGCCGCCAGATTTTCGGACAGGACCTCCTGTACAGGCCACCAGCCGGGGGCTATGAAACATTATGCCAAGATAGCCTGGCAACAGATTATCACTCAGTCTCTCGATGAGGATCACTCCGTCAATATCCATACTGTACAAGCCGCGAATATGCTAGGTGTTCTCGACTATATCTGTGTGTGTCCCGTCCCGTCCAGGTCTTATTGTAATCACTGACACGCCGTAGCCGGCCACAGCCAAACCGCATGGATCAAGATTGGGCTTGCAGTCCGATTTGCTCAGATACTCAATCTCTGCCATGAAGTGGATCATAGTGGCAGCCACATAGAGCTCGAGACTCGAAGGCGCACATTCTGGTCGGTTTACCTCCTCGACAGGCTGGTCTCATGTGGTCGCAATCGCCCACCAACGCTTCTTGATAGCGATTGCACTATCAAGTTGCCATGCAAAGATGAAGACTTTAGTGGTGGACGGCCATCCACATCCACAACATTAGACGATGTCCTCGACATTCCCCTTGAAGCCCCTCTGGAACCGAGCGCCCCTTTTGCCTTGGCCATCTTCATGGCCTCTGTGCTTGGTCATGTGGTGCGTTGGACCCTGCAGCAAAAGCCCGACGAGTCCAGATTGCCGTGGGATTGTCGCAGCACGTTTTCCAGGATCCGTGGTGCCCTCTTGAGTTTCGAGAGCTATACAGAAGCAACCGAAAGTTTCGAAGCATTTGAGTCTGCTTTGAAGCAATCACTCCCGGACCAAGATGATGTCAGCTCCAGTGCCACTAGCTGCCACTTTGTCTTTTCCCATGTGCTCTACCACATCAACCAGTGTCTCCTATACCACCCCTTCCTTGTGCGGCAAAGATTAAAGGCACATGATACCAAGATACCTCCGAGCTTTTTGCGCGAGGCCATTCGCAACAGCCATGAGCACGCAGTGTTTCTCGCCAGGATTCTCAATAGATATCTGCAACGTCCGTCTGATACTACACCGAGCTTCTTTGGGTATGCTGCTGTTCTAGCAGGTGGAATTCTTCACCTCCATACCCTCGCAGCAGCAGCATCATCATTGTCATCATCATCATCCGGTCCTTGGAACTCGGCCGAGCTCTTAGCAGTTTGCGTCCGATTCTTAGATCAAGGTCCGACAAGCTGGGAGTCATTCCGACGAATGGTCAGTCAAGCGATTCTTTTCCTCTTTCCTACCGCCTTCAGGTCACTAATGCCAACTAGGGTTCCATCCTCAAAGCACTTAGCATCCCTGCCTCTAGTGCCCAGCTTTTACTTTCGTCAACCAGCAAAGCGAGCAATCTTGAACCCAAACTTGAGGAGAGTCTTTGGCAGGCCTGTGATTACAATCAGATGGTCACCTTTACCAAGCCAATCCAGCCAATTGAGGAGACCTCTGAAATGGAGCTCCTAACGGATGAGTGGCCAACATCTCCTGGCTTGATGGAACTCCTTGGCCGAGGATTTCCACCATCGGATATCTTGACATGGTCCGACTGGGATCCTTCTTCGCAAGCTTTATCATCTGGTTTACTCCATGACATTTATCAACATGCAGAAGCAGGCATCGGCGAGACAGCTCTTTCAATGGACGTCTAGATCAAACGTGGCCTACAACCGTTATCGGATATTACATTGCAAAAGAGCAACTTTTTTCAAAATCTTACAATGAGTCATAGCAATTACTACTCAAATAATTACAAGCGAGACTTTGGCTGTAGTTGTTGTATAGCCTTCAGCTCCTGAGCCACGGCCAGATCCACAAGGATTTCTTCGCTTCCACCACCGACAGCCATGACTCTGACATCGCGGCTGATCTGCTCGATACGAGCCCCCCGTCCTTCTTTGGAGTAGCCAAGGCCACCCAAGACCTGTTGGGCCTCTCTATTGACTTTCTCGAGAACCTGAGCGGCCAACACCTTCAGGGCAGCAATAGGTCCAGCGATCAGTGGATCATTCTCAGTTACCTTGGCTTGCTCAATCAAGTACACAAGTTGCTCCATCCAAGCGTGTGCTGAATTGATGCTGCGACTAAATAAGGCTAATTTGCTGCGAATGACTTGATTCTCAATTAGTTTCTTTCCAAAGGTCTCGCGCAGCATCGCGTGCGTCAAGGCATCCTCGGCGCAAACCCGGGCCATGCGGAGCGAAGTACAAGCCAGCCAGAGTCGCTCATGGTTGAAATCTGTTGGAAAAATATGAGTTTCATGCAAGAAAAATGCAGCGCATGAGACTCACTGGACATGATAATCTTGAACCCTTCGCTCTCGTTTCCGAGCAGATTCTCGATAGGTACCTCTACGTCGTCGAACTCGATAAAAGTAGACCCTATTTGTGTCAAGAGAAAGAGCAAGCCTCGTACAGATAGTAGATTTGCTTACCGCTTGCATGGACGCCAGAGTTGTCAAGTTTTCTGAGGGTCACACCCTTTGCTTTCAGTGGGATGATGAGAGCCGACACCCCTTTGGAACCTGAGCCCCCTGTTCTCACGGCAGCGGTACAATAATCGGCAAAGATACCATTGGTTATCCACTTCTTGAGCCCGTTGACAATATAATGGTTGCCCCGGCGCTCTGCTGTGGTGGCGATGCCAGCCACGTCCGACCCCGCTGTATCTTGTGTTAGCTTGCTTGCTCTGTTGGGTGTGAAATATGCTCACCTTCAGGCTCGGTCACACCCAAGCAGAATCTCGTCGTTCCATTCAGGATACCTGGTAGGAATCTGCGCTTTTGCTCTGCATTTCCAAAGTTCACTAGAGGGGGTGCACCGATGGAGTTGCCACAGCTCAGGCCCCAGATGACTCCTAGATACCCGCAACGGGCGATGCCGTCGATCAAGATGAGGTCATGGAAGCCATCCCATTCTTGAGGACTAATGTCCGCTGGTAATCTCTGGCTGCCGAGATGTTCTGCAGCTAATGGGTAAATCGATACAGCGGTATAACCAAGACGTGCATGGCGTACCATGACATCGTCAGGAATGCGACCGCTGGCCTCCCACTCATGGCAGAAGGGCGAGATATGTTCCCTCACATATTGTTCAACTTCGGACTGCAGACGATAGTGACTCGCTTGGTAATAAGGACTGGCGCCCCGTGTGATCCAGAGCGGTTCAGAGAATGATGACATGACGTTCAGGATCAATATGGAGGTTATTAGCTGGGACCTGGATTATGGTATGATACTGCTGAGATTTCGTCTGCTGCAGTCACCTTGAGTACAAATATTAAGCACCTTTCGATTAGTGGAACCTATTCACCTACTCGATCCATTTCCCTTGAAGCTGAAGCCAACCGCGGACAGTATTGCGAACAGAAAATGTGGGGGGCGGATGCGAGCCGGGCCCACTTCTACTGCCGGTGGGTTGCGGGACTGGTGTTAGTATACCATAGCCGGCTGCTGGCTAGGCACCTCGGGCCTTGCCGAGACACGGCCAACTTACACTGGTAAATGCTGGCAAGCCGAGCCCAAGATCAATTGCTCATCAGTATCTGTCAATCGGAAAGATCTCGAGTTGACCGTGTTGCAGAAATTCAACTTTGCTTTTCAATTTGATCTAGGTTGACAGCCACTTCTCATTGTGCAGCCGCACCAACAACTGCAGCCATGGCGACCACACAGCGGCCACCCTTGTTTGTCGCAGAACCCTGCTCTGGAACTGATGGTCATCCTCTGATTCAGAAAGTCTTTATTGCCAACCGCGGCGAGATTGCCTGCCGGGTGATTGCTACTTGCCGGAAGCTGAATTTGACTTCAATTGCGGTGTACCTCGAAGAGTAGGTGACTTCATATTATCAGGTTGTTGTAGCATTTTATTGAATCTTGAACAGAGACAAGTCCTCTCGACACGTGAGAGATGCAGACGAAGCAATTTGCCTTGGAAGCATCACGGCCGACAAGAATCCATTCCTCGATATTGAGCTACTCGTGTCAGCTGCACGACATGCTGGTGCCGACGCTGTCCATCCGGGATATGGCTACCTCAGCGAGAACCCAGACTTTGCCGACAAGGTTAGAGAGGCCGGTCTCATATTCATAGGACCCAGCTCTCTGGCGATGATGACGCTTGGTAATAAGCGCAGCTCCAAGGTCTATCTTCAGGAGCATGCTCCCGAGGTTCCATTGATCCCTGGCTTCTCTGGTGCAAGCCAAAACGTGGAGGATCTCAAGCTCGCCGCAGAATCTATTGGGTTTCCAGTCATGCTCAAGGCATCGTCGGGAGGTGGTGGCAAGGGTATGCGCATTGTTAGAGATGCTTCTCTGCTGGGCGACGAATTGCAGCGTGTGCAGTCCGAGGCTAGTCGCAGTTTTGGGTCTGCTGATGCCATCCTTGAGAAATACATTGAGGCCGGAAAGCATGTCGAATTCCAGATCGTTGGCGATAGACATGGACGCGTTATTTCTCTGTGGGACCGCGACTGCTCGTTACAACGTCGCCATCAGAAGATCGTCGAGGAGACACCTTGTCCGTGGCTGAGCCAGAGCATGCGTGAGGCCATGAGCCAGACTGCTATACGCATTGCGGAACTCATCGGCTACGAGGGAGCCGGTACAGTCGAGTTTGTGGTGGATGTGAAGGAGGAAAAATACTACTTTCTCGAGGTCAACGCGCGCCTGCAAGTGGAACACCCCATTACTGAGGAGGTGACGGGGATTGATCTGGTTGCTCTCCAGGTCTACGTGGCCTCGGGCGGGCGCCTCGATGACCTGGATGTGCTGCATCGGATTTCACAAAAAGGACACGCCATAGAGTGTCGACTCTGTGCAGAGGATCCGCATCACGACTTTTTCCCAGAGCACGGAGTCGTTCGCCTTTGGCAGCCCGCTCCAGGCATTCTCGGGCCAGGCCGTGACATTCGCTACGAGACAGCAATAGAGACAGGCTCGCAAGTCTCGATTCACTTTGATTCCATGATTGCCAAAATCGTTGTTTGGGCACCTACACGCGCGCGGGCCATTGCAAAGACACTAGCTGTTCTGGCTAACACGGCATGTGTCGGCGTCCGTACAAACCAGCTGTTTCTCCAGAGCTGTCTGCGCCACCCGGGATTCCGCAGTGACCCAGCTTACACCACGTCTTTCATCGCGAGACATATAGAATCACTGCTGACCAATCCATACACGGGCAATGCTGGGCAGACGACCTTTGCGTCTCTCGAATCGATTCCCAGTCTTGTCCTTCGCGCCATGCGTGCACGTCAAGCGTCCTCCAAGGGTCACTACGCCTTTCGCAACATTGCCAATGGCTTTCGCAACCAACGATATGACTTGATCAACCGCCCGTCCAACTTTGTGGTCACAGTTCACAACGGTGTCGACCCTGCCAATGCCAAGAAGAATGCCTCGTTGAGAGTTTGGGAACCGACTGAAGATCCTCAAACCTTTACCACATACACTGTTTCGATGCCAGCAGTCGACTCAGTCGAAGAAAACTCCAAGGAGGCTACCTCGGGGGTGACTACAAGATATAACCAAATCAGCAACGCCATGCGCACCTGTCAATGGACCAACAGCGTTGCGGAGCGAGTCACCATTGAGACTATTGAGCCCTTGCCTGAATCCCATCACGGCCACTGGTCCTCGGTCTTGGCCATTGCCTCGGTAAATAATGTCAAAAAGGTCGTGGTGCTATGCGCCGAGTATGGACGCAACGACTCGGCCAGCTCGCAACGCGGCGCGCCGCAGGTCGTCTACGCGCACGTCCCGGCGCTGGGGACCTGGGCCCGGTACGACATTTACAGCGCGCTGTCCTTTGTCGAGAGCACCCGGGAAGACTACCAGGCAGCGGCAACGGCGGCGGCGGATTCCCGGCTGGTGAGGGCGCCCATGCCCTGCAAGGTCCTGCGGAGGCTCAAGGAGGAGGGCGCGCAGGTGCAAAAGGGGGAACATGTCATGGTGGTGGAGAGCATGAAGATGGAGGTCAGTATCGTGGTACAGGGAGAGGGGAAGCTCAAGATTAATTTTGACATTGGCGATTCGGTGGATGAGGGTGTTGTTCTTTGTGAGATTCTATAAGTAGATGTTTCTGTTTGAATAGTCGCTAGCTCATGAAGGAAAATGAATTACTAAAATGCTTATTAAAATTATCCTCGTCTCTTGATTTCATTTTTTTTTTCTGTCCATATGTGAAACAACAAGTGCCTTTCTCAGGTGAATCTGCTCGCATAATCCCAAATAGATGACAACTTATGGGCTGCGAGTTAAAAGTCCACATAAAAAGATTCTTGCGCAAGCATCTTCACATTAATACATTCGAATCATAAATTGACTTGGATATCAGCTAAATACAATCTTGTCACATTCGAGCAAGTGACGAGTGGCTATCAGTACCCTGTATACCCTCTTGACTGACTACTTCTAAGCACATGCCCAGCACGTCTCGAGTATTCCGGGGATCAATGATGCCGTCATCCAGGCCCACGGCACTGGTACTATAGCACTCGCTATCGCGCTCGACGCCGTCGCGAAACTTGGCCACATTGCGCCGGAGCTCGTCCTCGACGAGGGCGCGCCCCTGCGACGCGGCGCTGGCGCGCTGGATCGTCTCCATGACGCCGGCGAGCTGGTCCGGGCCCATGACGCTGCAGCGGCCCGTGGGCCAGGCAAAGAGGAAGCGCGGCCGGTACGCGCGGCCGCACATGGCGTAGTTGCCGGCGCCGTACGAGGCGCCGACGATGATGGATATGTGCGGCACCGTCGAGCAGCTGACGGCCGAGACCATTTGCGCCCCGCGCTTGATGATGGCGGCGTGCTCGGCCTTGGACCCCACCATGAAGCCGGTGACATTGTGCAAGAAGATGATGGGGACATTTCTACATGATTTAGGTCCATGTCAGTGCCTACTCGCAGGACTATTTGAGGAATTTCTGGTTGATGACACGTACTGCTGGTTACACATGCGAATGAATTGGGCCCCTTTGGAGGCTTCATCTGCATTAATGACTGGCGTCTGATTGGCCACGATGCCTACTTGGAATCCTGAAAAAGTCCGTGTTAGTCCCGGCTATACTTCTTTCCAGCAGAAACAAGGAGAAACTCTTTCATACCGAGGATATGTGCCCAAGCCGTGACTAGATTGCGCCCAAATGATGGTTTAAACTTGAGCAGTCTCGAGCCGTCGACTATTCTCAACAAGGCTTCGCTCATGTCAAAGGGCTTGCGAATATCTGGGTTCACTAGAGCGAGCAAGTCGGACGCAGGATATCGTGGGGGTACCGGTGCCGTTACACCCATCGGTACATGACTGCTCGTAGGCAGTGTGGCGACCCATTCTCTGGCGCTTCTTATCGCCTCGAACCTATTGACGGAATCAGTATACTATTTCTCAACATATCAGAGGACCACAGACTCATCGACAACAATCTGATCCGCCAGACCAGTAACGGTAGCGTGCACGTCGGCACCCCCCAGCTCTTCAGCGCCAATAATCTCTCCCGTGGCCATCTTGACAAGAGGGGGACCGCCGAGAAAGACTTGGGCCTGCGACTTGACAAAGACGGTGTAGTCGGATAGGGCGGGATGGTAGGCGCCCCCGGCGGTCGAGGAACCAAAGACCACGGCGCAAGACTTGTACCCTTTTTGGGTGCGGAGGGCGAGGTCGCGGAAGATTTGTCCGCCTTTGTGGAAGACGCGGAATTGTTGGGGGAGAAAGACTCCAGCCTAGATGATGTCGAGATGTTAATGTTGCTAGAGACACAATTTGGTGGTTCTGTTTCCCCCCGTGATGGACATACTGATTGAACCAAGGCGATAATGGGCAAACCGTTTTCTGTCGCAATCTCGGTGATGCGATTTTGCTTAATCACTTGGGTCAGTGTCAACAGTGACGTGCGTCTGAAATCGAGATCATGTGTCTTTGCTCTATTGCTCACCTGTCATTTCATTCCATGCGCCTCCACTTTGAGTTGGAATATGGGCTAATATCATGACCGGGCGGCCGCAAACGTTGCCAATGCCGCCAATGAGGCTGGCGCACGGCGACGAATCCTTGAGGTTATAGCCCATGAAGACTCCGAGTTCAAGAAAGGGCGAGTCTTGGTCCAGCACAAGGCTGACTCTGTCACGAACTATCTCGCGTCTCTTAGCAACACAGACTGGATCCATGATGCACGTGGTGGCTTCATACCTAGTAGCTGCCCTTTCGCCATGTGTCTCGCCGTTGCTTCTGGAGAGCCTTCGGAGCTCGTTTTGGAGAGCGCATGCTCAAACTTGTCCAATAATACGGACCAGCTCTGTCTATTCTCATCATACTGGCTCTGTCGAAGATCCAGCGCCGATTTCTGCACGGGAAATGCCGTCGTCGTCGTCATTGTCATTGTTCTCAATGTTTGGCTTGTATCATTGAAAAGTGCAAATGCGTGCATGGCCGAAACAAGACTTGGTTGAGAAAAACGAGCAGCTGGCCCATCATTGAACATGACCGGCAGTAATTGTGAGCCTTGGGCGTACTCAGCACGGCTGCCCGCGGCTATGGGGCCTGGCACCCGCTTCGGTGCGTGCCCGGGGCCCGGGACGTCGACCGGGCCCACATATCCCGGCTACCTGTAGGTTAGCCGATGAGAACACGACAAAGACCAATGATATTGGTAACAAAAGACAGAGTTAAGATGGGAGAGGGGAGAAAAATGGGAAGAGTTTTAGGCGTCGTTTACCAAGAAATCCATCAACTCCTGACTCTGTGTACACAATGGCAAATCCAGCGCTTTCCTTGGTTCATGGTCCAACTACGACACCTCTGTGGACGGGCACTTTGGGCTCTCTGATCAAGGAGCAGAATTCAAAACATGGAAATAAAACTGCAATTATTGTACCATGGCAGGGACGCAGATTGACATACTACGAGCTCGATGCTCGAAGCGAGGCTGTGGCCAGCTCTCTGCTGTCGCTGGGGATCAGGCCTGGAAATGCGATTGCCATCATGGCGGGAAACCGTTTCGAGTATATCGAAGCATTCTTGGCTGCGGGCAGGATAGGATGTCCGGTCATTGTGCTCAACAATACCTATACTCCCAGCGAGTTAATCAGCGCGCTGACACGAACATGTAAGACTCTCTGGCCGATTCGTGTACAACTTTGATTTGACAGACTATAGCAACAAGACTACTATTCATTGCGGCCAAAATTGGCACCAGGGACATGTCCGAGCATGCTGACTCTGTAATAAGGCAGGCGGCAAGTGACAGCTCAGCAGCCACGCGACACGTGGTGCTCTGGGGAGAGAATAGCACATACTCTAGTGTGATGGCTCAGTCGTACCAACAATTTTTGAATCGTCGCTCAGAAGCATCTGCTTTTCACTTGCAGCGCGCCGAAGCGAATGTCAAGCCCGACGATTTGCTGAACGTCCAATTTACATCAGGTACAGTCAAGACATCTCCAAGGGGCTTCGCATAGCAGACTCACCCGGCGAAATAGGCACAACTGGCAATCCGAAAGGAGCAATGCTGAGCCACATGTGAGTCAATCCTCCTGGAATATCCAGTACGCGAGCTAACGCATTTGTCAACAAGAAACATCATCAACAATGCCCAGTTCGTGGGATCGCGGATGAGACTTACCAGCCTCGACATTGTCTGCTGCCCACCGCCTCTTTTTCACTGCTTCGGATTGGTCATGGGGTTTCTCAATAGCTTCTTCCACGGAGGCAGTATCGTGTTCCCCTCGGATTCGTATGATGCCAATGCCGTTCTCGATGCGATCGCCAATGAAGGTTGCACCGGTCTGCTCGGCGTGCCAACCATGTTCTTGGCGCAGCTTGATGTCTTGAAATCCAAGCCGTCAACCATGGAGAATAAAACTTTGCGAGTTGGGCTAGCCGCCGGCTCCATGGTGTCGCCGCAGTTGCTCAAGAGGCTGGACGCGGAAATGGGCCTGCAGAGGGTCCTGGTTGCATACGGCATGACCGAGACGAGCCCCGTGAGCTTCATGATTGACCACGACGACCCGCCTCGACGCCGGCAGAGGGGCCTGGGCAAGGTCATGCCACACACGAGCGCAAAGGTCGTTGACGCCCAAGGACGCATAGTGCCCATTGGTAGTCGAGGCGAGATGTGCGTGAGCGGATACGCGCTCATGAAGGGATACCTCGACAATCCCAAGGCTACTGGCGAAGTCATGGTACATGATGACCAAGGAGTGACTTGGATGCGTACTGGTGACGAGTGCGCTATTGATGAAGAAGGGTACTGTGAGATTACGGGGCGGATCAAGGATCTCATCATCAGAGGTACGTTTCCCGACTGTGATTCAAACAAGGAGACTGACAATTGCTCTAGGTGGCGAAAACATATTTCCGGGTGAAATCGAGGAGAGATTACTGGAACATCCAGGAATCATCGAGTCGAGTGTGGTGGGAATTTCAGACGAAAAGTATGGCGAGGTTGTAGCCTGTTTTCTGCGAGCGACCAGCTCCGGCGTCAGGGTGGCTCATCACGAGGTTCAAGAATGGGTGAGGATGAAACTAGGCAGGCACAAGGCTCCCAACTGGGTCTTTTGGATTGGTGATCCAGCAGTCGGTGATGACTTTCCCAAGACGGGCAGTGGAAAGCATCAAAAGCACATTTTGAGAGCAATCGGAGAAAGACTGAGACAAATGAATGAAAAGCCACGGCCCAGACTCTAGAACATACAATATTACTTCTCAGGTTACGATTTTACAAGGTTTTCTTCGAATTTTGATTATTTATTGGTGGCAATTAATACCCAAAGAACGAGTCAATTCTGATTTGACCAACACATGAGTTGGAACACGGCTTAGCTTAAAAAATCTCAATCAAGGGCCGCAACGATCTAACAGAAACATACAGCCGCTAAATACAAGACAGTCCATGATGGAGACAGTGGTTCAGTGCAGTAATCCCACAAACATTGATTTGATTGTTTCACCAAGACGATGTATAGTGAAGAAGGATATATTTATAGCTTAGACTTTGACTCTAGGTTGTACGAATCCCAGTTGACATGTCTCCTCCCGGCTCTAAACTCTTTCAATCCATGCTCTGATTCGCCTCCTGGTTTCATCATCTCGTCGAATGCAGAGCGAATCGCTTCCTGCTGGGTAGTCGGACTCAAACCCAATGGGCTAGCTCTGATGAGGTCTTTGCATAATGAAGAGGCTCTCGGCGCCGCAACCCTCAGTCGTAGCAAATACTCATCAATGAGCTTCTCCAAGTCAGATGTAGACTCGCACGTGGCCGCTACAATCCCGAGGGACCGCAGTTCGGATAATGGAATGGTGCGGCCACTCAACATGGCTTCCCGAGCAAAGGCCAAGCCCCATTCCCTAATGACATACTTGGAAATGGTTGCTGGACACAGTCCAAGCTTGACCTCGCTGAGAGTCAGCGCAGCGGCAGAGACACCGATGCGAATATCGCAGGCAAATGCCAGACCGATCCCGCCCCCAAATGCGGGCCCGTTGATGGCAGCCACGGTGACTTGGGGCGCTCGATCAATTGCCTCAAACAGGCGGGTCAGACGATTGAACTGATTGTCGCTCGCCGATTGATCCTTTGCGACGGGGCCTTGCTGGCTCAAGTCCATACCAGTGCAAAAGAACTTGCCTTGAGCAGTAATGACGATGCGGCGAATGGAGCCATCAGTGGCGGATTGGTCAAAAAAGGTCGTCAGCTGTTCAATCATGGATGCCGTCAGAGCGTTGCCGTTTTCAGGCCTGCTCAAGATAATCTTGCGATTACGACCAGAGCACAATACTTTTAATCCCTCTGTTTCTTTTTGAACTGCCCAATTCGTGCTTGGCAAGCCTCTGGATGTCTTTGCGGTGCTTTGCGGTAATGTGTTTGTTCGCTTCTTGATGATTGCCGACCCAGCCCGGCTGTCGTGGCGTCTTGAAAGTTTCTGTGATATCCAGTGACCAGTCTCGGCTAGCTTGATCAGGTCCACGCCGGTGCTCACGCCAGACTCCTCAAACATGTACACCAGGTCCTCGGTGGCCAGATTGCCCTGAGCGCCGGGGGCAAATGGACATCCACCAAGGCCGGCGACACTACTGTCAAATGTCCTCAGGCCCTGCTGAAATGCCTCCCAGACATTTCCCAGAGCCTGGCCGTAGGTGTCGTGGAAATGACCAGCGAGCTTTCCGGCTGGAACCCCGTTGGCAAACAGATAACCGAGTAATCTCCTTACATCTCCCGGAACGCCGACTCCAAGCGTATCGCCGAGACTGACCTCGTAGCATCCCATATCCAAAAGTCTTTCTACGACTTCCAGAACGGCTGCCTCGGAGGTCTTTCCATCGAATGGGTCTGCAAAGATGCAAGAAACATAACTGCCATTGTTGATTAGCTCGTATTGTTCCAGAGTAACCAAAGTTCTAGGAGGTTCGTATTCTTTCTTACCCTCTAACCTTGATTCCCGCCGGTATGCACAAATCGGCTACCTCCTTGGCCCGGCCTATCCCTTCTTCCACACTGCAATGAATGTTGGCCCGGCTAAAGCCTTCAGTCGCGCTCACAAACACGGCAACCTCGCAAACGCCATACTTTCTCGCCGTCTCCAGCCCTTTGCGATTAGGCACCAACACTGGGAGCTGCAAGTCGTCGTGATTCTGTTGTCGTCCAAGCAGGGCTTGTACCGCACCGTCGCTGAGAATCTTGTCGTGGTCGGCAAGCTGAGGAATGGACTTGGGCGATACGCACGACGTGAGCTCAATAATCTTCAAGCCGGCGGCGTGCAGGCGCGCAATCAGCTCCAATTTCACGGCCGTGGGGACCAGGGTCGAGATGTTCTGCAGCCCGTCGCGCGGACCGACCTCGACGATGCGAACATCCATGTGAAAGGCCGTGATGGGTGGACAGACAGAAAGACACACCCAACAAGAATACGAGTTTCACTATCTTTGCAATGGCGTTTCAAAATCAAGGCTCATGAGTAGTGAGTAAATGCTCTATTGCACAACATCCATGCTTCCAGAGACTGCCGGTATACTACAACCCCGGAGTCCCGGCCTAGAAGATCGATTGTCTTGGCAGTCGACGGCTATGATCCGGGCCCACTTTTCCACGGCCAGCTCCCGACTTCTATTACCGCGGAGCAACTGTCTTGAAATGCATTGATTGCTATTGGCCGCTTTCCAATCTGACTTCCCCGTGATCACGATCTCTACTAAAACTTGTTGGTACGTATCCGAGACACAGCTGTTGACTGGCGGTGATTAATGTCAGTATTGTCGTGTTCTCCTCTAGCAGCAAGAAGGTCATATACGACGCGGCGGAATGCACCTTGTAAATAAGCTGATCTTGGACCGCCGACCCCTTGTACTACCAACCAAATCTGAAATAATTATATGAGATTTATGCATTTGAATAAATTCCATCAGCATTTGACCCTCGCAGAGTGTTTGCTAGTCCATCGCAAGTTCTCACGTTGTCATCATCGTAGTCTGCCGCCATTCCTTGCGCAGCTTCTTCCGGGGCCGAGTAGCCAGGCGCGCATCTCTCGCTTTGCTCTCTCCAAGCTTCGCAACTAATGCCGTGGGCCGTCCATGATAAGGACTACTTGGCCCTAGGGCAACATTTTGGCCTTTCTCATCCGCTCCCACGCAATCTTGTATCCCTCGACCGTGTCAATCTCCTCGGTGAATCCAACCTCGCGTGAACGCTGCAGATTATAGTGCCTGTCAAAATTGAACTGCACGAGCATGAACTCAATGAACCCCCAATGTTGTTCCTCGGCCAAGGTCTCCTTGAGCCCGTGTCGCTGGGCAATGGTCTTCCAGACGTGCTTGTGCTTGTCCACAAACTCGAGCAGCGGCGTCGACGAGGACGGGTCGGGCCCTGTGCCTACCAGGCCAAAGTGCTCACAGAGGCGGGGCCATACCTGTTGCCAGGTCACTGCCTTGCCGTCAGCCACGTTAAAGATGCCACCGCCGCCGCACTTGTCGGGGTTGAGAGCGGCGTGGATCTCCATGCGGGATAGGAGATCCTGAAATGTATCCGTGTGTGTCGACTGGTAGCCGTGCTGCTGACCTGGAAAGGGAATTCTGGCGCCGGCACCATGGACCTCCTTGTAGATCTCGAGGTACAACGCAATGCCTTGGGCCAGGTTCATTGGGTTCGTGACGGGCGTGAAGCCAATGATGCCGTCGGGCCGGATTTCAGTAAAGGTCCAAGATTTGCCACGCGACAGCTCCGCCAGGCGATCATATTGTGAGTAGTAGAAAATGTCACTGGCCCACGGCTCAGGGATACGCGGGCTACTTTCGGTGAGAGGCGGGCGAATTGATACCTCCTTTGGGAATTCAAGACCATAACTAGTACTTGGTCAATATGTTACTTTCTTTCTTTTTTCTCTTTGAATCGATTCAACTTGAATGCCAATTGACTTACCCCTTTCCACCTGTTTGCAAAATGAATGACTGCAAACCTGGTGCGACTGCATCTATAGCTCGCACGGCAGTATCCAGAAGTCGTGTATTGATCTCCTTGAGCGCCTGGAAGCCCTCCTTCTCAATGTAGGCTTTTGAAGCAAGAGTAGTGAGTAAGGATGACAAACCCCCAGAATGGATCAGTACAAAGACACTTACCTGTGAAGAACACGTGTGTCACGGTGTGCACATCGGCAATCTTATCTTTTAGGGACCGCACAACCTGATCCACAGACTTTGTGAGATCGACTCCGTGGACAAGCTGCACGCGATCATCCCTTGGTAGCTGGGCCTGCTCCAGGCTCAATGGGCGGTTGGTGGTTCCAGTGATGCGGGCAAAGGAAGTGGCCGAAGGATAGACTCTCGTTTGGTTCAGCAACGACCAGCCTGATATCCCAGAAGCGCCAAAGATGAGTGCATGAGCCATTGCCGGTAAAATGTAGTGTGCAGTCGTATATTCAGATACAAGACGTTATAGTAGTACTAAATGTTCTTGATCAATCGTTGTCGGTCGCACTGGTAGATATAGCAACGATGTGGTAACATGGTATAAAAGACGTGCGCGTCGCTTTGTAAGTCGTGCTGATTCATCATATAGACTGTAGCTGCAGCATCGGGTCTGCTTTCGCCCGGGTGCTCAGCATGATGAATGCATCTTGGTCAAGACAACTATAAGTTCATACTTGGCGGGCGGTAGGACAGCCAAGAGTTGGGACTCATGACTAAAGCGATAGGGGACCTCGCGCCTTATACGGTTAGCATGGTTTGTTAGATCTCCCGTCTGCGTGTCGTCCCAGAGTCCAGCTTGGCCAGCGGACTTTGACTACTCTTTTCTACGGCATCGCGCCGTCTGAAGGCTCGACTCGATAGACTTGTGCCTCCTTGCGTCCGATATTGTTTTTTCTTATTACTAAAAGCCTGGAAGAAGCAAATGTTTACCCGACAATGGTGTCGGTTTCCCTTTTGCCAAGCGGTCTAAACTTTGCCTGGGCGTATTAGAGCGACCCACTTGAATTATTTCTTGCGACCAAACTGATTTGCACCTCATAATCAAAGTCTGCAATGGTAGCCATATCTTGTTTGAAAGCCTCACACATATTTTTATACAATAAAAACAGCTTGGGTCGTGTTTTTTAAGATCAATTGGTGGAATCTTGGAATGGCGCCTTTCATTGGTGAGTGTCAAGTATGCATCTTAGTGAAGCATGATCATAATTAGACTGACCGCTGGGCCCTCCCTGGTGCTGACGCCTCTATAGGTGAGAGGTAGTGAGTGATACGACTAGTATCCAAAATCAAGAATAAAATTAAAAATGGTCTACATGCAATTTTCTTCCCTGTAACCAGACGAGCGCTTCGCAGTTATTATGCTCGATGCACCCAATGAGGTTGACGGCCCGCAACTATATCAATTACATTCAGTATAAGCGCCTAGGTTAGGTTAGTGATGTGCCCCAGCTATACCCTTTGGGTGACTACGAGAAGAGTTCTCAAGTCTGTTCATTCACATATTAATTTAGCACATCTATGTGACGGCCTTGCAATTACGGAAAGCCTTGGAGTCGTGTTGAAACATCGTGTTGAAACATTGCAGCAGCAGTCATGGTCTGCAACATCTTCCTTGTCTCTTTCAATGGCGAAAGATCACCTTGTTCTTGCATCAGCTCACGTATTGACAAGCTCTACCCTGACGTCTACACGGTGCTCTCTCAATATTGCGTCCATTTACAGGACTGCGTTATCGGCACAACTCGTCAGCACAGCGACGTGAAGCAATGCCGGTGCTGTTGGCCATGGATATATAATCCTATGCTACTAGTATATTCCTGGGCTATCCATTCGTTAAGCTTAATAACATGCTTCATATTAAGCACCTAGCTCTCGGCCCTCGGAAGCTGCGGAGGAAAGAAGCTTAAGATTGTGTATACCAACACCGGTTGTAGAGCCGGACCGACCGCTTGATTGACGCAGCAGTGCAGTTGTTCATCTCGGGGATCTTGGCGACTGCATCACCCCTGAGTCCCCATGGTAGGGCTGTTATCGTGGCCCTCCTCCTGCCCAATGAAACCTAAATTCAAGGATCCCACATTCAGGTTTTTCCTCTCCGCAGTTAATTCCAGTGACGCACCCCTGTCTATCATTCTCCCGAACTTTCATCGATACTCCCTGTCGACCCGTTCAGCTACACAATATTACCCACCATAACGTGAGCATAATTTGACTCCACACGTACCATCGTATTGTTTCTGCAATACGTATTACTGCGCTGTACCTACTAGGTAGTCTGTCGTGTTGGTGCACCAATGTGTCTCTTTTCACGGCATAAGGAGCAACCCCAATTACAATAATTACCGGCAACGCAAGGCTCCATAGACGTGCAGTGCTTGTTGGTTTCAAAAGATTGTCAACCAACATCGCTTTTCCATCTACGCTTCTTTCCTTCCTGCTCACCACCTGTATAACTATCCACCCTGCCATGATTCCCGTCACTGTTTCTTGACGCACAGTCATCGCCGCCACCCTTAGCATCTTCTTCTCGTTCGTCCTTTAACATGGCTTTGGGTTATATCGAAATGGCGGCATCGGAGAGAGTCTAATCTCTGACGATCAGTCATTCGTAGAAAACCTGGCCTGTCGCATTTGGCCCGACTGGACGGCCCCCACACCGGCATATGTTGAAAGCCTAGGTCAGCCATCGTTTTACGAACATGGGACAATTACAATTACACCGAGACAAGACTCTCTTGGCTACGTGCTCTCATCTCAGAGACAGCACTATATTCCCAAGGCGAACTCGAGACATTCTTTCTCGTCAACGTAAAGGATGCGGATGCCAGGCTTGAAGATGAAGCAGTATATTCATACTGGCTCCAGAAAACAGTGCCTGGAGACTTTTACGGCATGGCCCTTTTTTCAATGAGCGCTTCCTGAAGGAATGGTATCCCAAAATCAAAGAACACGGCGCACAAGACCAAATGTACCAAGCTCTCCAGATCTTCTCGCAACAGTTTCAACAATTCGACTTTGTGTGGCAACTGGAAATGCATCTCAGGCTCATCGGCCACGCATACGAAATCCTTTCATCGGCTGCCGTCTTTGCCCAAAACGAGCCACGCGAGAATCTGCGGGAACGAAATGGGCGCTTTTACATACCCGAATTACACGATAAATCTAACGAGAAATTCACGGCGGCCGTCAACGAAGAAGTGGGCGACTCTGGAACCTGGGGCGCAGTAAACACAACAGACTTTACTCCTCAGGGGCCACAGGCGCCTGTCAAGGCCGAGAACATGGCATGGGGCATTGGGGAGGATGCCGATCTGTTCAGTTTCATGCCCATGATCGATCCAATCGGCACAAACTGGGTTTGCGAAGATCGCATATACGGGTTCACTGATGGCGAGTCGACACCTCGCCGGGCTGCATTTATCAGCAAGACTCGGTTCTCTCATCTGTTGCTTCAGCTGGTTCATGAAGCCCAAAGTCAACATGGGCAATGGCTTGTGAGCGAGGCAACTATGGAGACGTTTGCTCTTATGCACGGCTTGAAAGCCGTAAGCATCCCACATCCCATCGCGTTTGCAAACTCAAACGACATCATGGCGGCACGCAAGCCGGACCAGGCCATCCACATGGGGCCCAAGCATTCCAAGGCTGGGGGCCATAATCCATCGCTACTTTACACCAAGCAGGGGTACGTGGCTGGGCCTTGGGAGCAGTCCAGCTACTGGTGGTCAGGTAATGAGGCACCCCGGATATGGCATCAGTACTTGGGTGGCGAGTGCCTACCACCAATGCTTCTTCACCCGGTGAAGGACTAACTCTTGCGTTTACATCGCGCCGTTAGTAAGCAATAGAGAAAAGGCAATAGAAGTAAAATAGTGCTATGATAATTGAATATGAAATGTGATATCCAACTCGGCAGACTATCTCTCAATGTTGCTATGATAATCGAATATGAAATGTGATACCCGATTCTGCAAATTCTTTCTTTCGACTGAATCTTTGGAACACTTGTATGACAGCTCAAATGTCTGATGTCTAGGACACAGCCTTATGGGAGTTTGTGCCAGTGATCAAACACAGGTTTTGCCGTGTAGGATCCGGGAGGATTTTTGGGCGGTCTCCGTAATCTCGGCTATTGTGCTACATTCGTCAGGTTGCACCAGCGATCTTTAGCTTTCCCAGCAAAGTTTATGCGCCTTGGTGGGTAACCCTAGGACTATATATAATTAGATCCTGGTGCAAATGTTATGATGTCCAGCGCGCGTAGATCAAACAGAGGCTGAACTTGACCGACAGCTGGACAATTCGGGTCTTGCAGAACCTGTGCCGCAACTAGACATGATGAGGATGAAAATAAGCGCTTGCCAAGAGGTTTGTTGGTTGCAGAAGAGCAAAAATCAGAACATGCTCTCGTCGGCCAATAAGGGCCAGCATAACGCCTACTCGGAAGATCCCTACAGTACAGCCATGACCTACACTCTTTTCCATCTTTCTCAGGTCCCGTCCCTCAAAACCACCTTTGCACCACTTTAATAATTCCTAGCATGACCGTATTGTGCGGCTTTGCCCCTACAGAAACGCCCTCATGACAAATTCTTTCCAGTCCAGGCCGACATTGGCCTTGTTGGTCATTTTCACTACATTGTTCAGACTCGCATCGGCAGCAAACAACACCAAATGTTATGCTCCGAACGGTCAGGAAGCGCAATACACGGATGTGAGAACCAATCAAGAATTATTTGCGTGCCCGGCGGGAGATGATGGCTTTGCCACCTGTTGTGTGAGCACTGACTTTTGCCATCCCGACAACTTGTGCTACAACTTGAACGACGGATTTCCTACTGTTTATCGACAATACTGCACGGATCAAACTTGGGATTCGGACAATTGCAGCCCGCTATGCCGGACCGCTGGCGAAGAGAATGCGTCCGTGACAGGTGCTGTAAGTACAATGATTCACGTTGCACAATCGGCTGGTGTCAAAGAAGATTTGCTAAACATTAGATAAAGGTTGGACTTACTCCTTGCTCTGACGGCAAATTCTGCTGCGGAACGTTCAACGATGACTGTTGCAACAATCATGCGGGATTATACGCCATTCAAGGGACACAAGTTGGCCCGGGAAAATCGTTCACGACCACGGCCACAAGCGCGGCAACCGCCTCTTCCGCTTCATCTGACACTATATCCGGTGATGTCACTGCCTCTGCATCCCCGAGCAGCAGCGCGGAGTCGACATCAGCAGGTATCAGCTCAGGTGCCATTGCAGGCGTCGCGGTGGGAACTGCTGGAGTAGTAGCAATCTTTGCTCTCGCGGGAGTGCTCTTTTGGAGGAGACGCAAGTCGAGGACGTCGCCACAAGACCCCGGAGCAGCAGCACCATCGCTGCTGCCACCGTCGACGCACCACGACAGTTATCCGCCCTCTTGGAGTCCCCAACATTCGTACCAGCCCACGCAGCATTACATGGAAGCTGCAAAGCCTCCTTCTGACGTGTACGGGCATGAAGGCATGGGCCGGAGGCGCACCCCGGAAATGGAGGAAGTACCCGTCAGGCATGAGTTGCAGTCACATTGAGGCAGCCAAGCGGGCAATGGTTACGGTTTTCGGAGGAAAACGGCGGTAACTCGGTTGATACTAGGAAATAAACATGTCTATAAATATATAATGATGATGAGGGAAAAGGTGCAACAACTATGTGGTAATGAGTCTTAAATGCACCAAATTAATTTCAGGCGTCCTTTTGTATTATACCCACCTTGGGCATTTTCGGTCAGGTTCTTAGATATGGTGATGACGTCCTATTCAAGCATTTATTGTCTTTTTCTAGAAACCATAGCTAATCCATTGCTTCTCAACCTTTTCTTGAACCTCGACGGGATATCCTCGACGGAAAGAAGCCTCCCTCCACATGATTTCTTGCGAAAATTCCTCTGGGAACAGGCAACAGCGGACCACTTTGGTGTGATGCTCTCCAACTTTGCCACCATGTGACACGTATGGGATTAGACCTATGTTGGGATACTGGTCAAAGAAGAACTCATTTTCCCGGGGCTGACAACGTCCCGATGCCGCCCATATAACATCCTTCAGATTAGTTGGGTCAATGTCATCCCCAACCAAGTATACCGTGGGGATATAGTAGCCTGGCTTTGAACCAAAGACAGTGTGACCGACCTTTTGGCTAAAGTCCTCCATGTTAGTTTTGAGTGCCCGTAGCCGCCGTCTGTCCACCTGCAACACCCACCACATACAATGCGACTCGAAAGGGTTCCAAGCCATTGTGATGGGGAGTCCAGCTTGTTGGCAAATGCTCAAGACCTCGGCAGTAATTGTCAAGCCCCAGACCGTCTCGCTCTCCTCTGGGGCTCTGCCGGTCACACAAATGGGCAGAATGGGATCCTTTCTGTACGTTATGGCATTAATAGTTTGGACTGGACAATGTTTGGATTCTCCAGGGAAAATGAGCCCATGATACTCGGCCAATGGACCTTCACTGGCAGTCTCGGTGCGGGATACGGCTCCCTCAAACACAATCTCCGCGTCTGCCGGCACGAGAATGTCACTCGTCTCGCATTGGATCACCTCGACGGGAGTCCCCGTCAAGGCGCCAATATAGTCCGTCTCGTTGACGCCCTTTGGCAGCGGCATCCCGCTCGCCATGATGGCTGCTGGCGGTACCCCAAAGCACAGAGCAAAGGGCATGTCTTGTCCTAGGTCCGCCCACATCTGCCGGATGACTCCAATGTCCTGTCGCGGCATCATGGGTCCGACTAGCGATCGCTTGCCGTGCAGCATGCTACGCGTGATTGACCAATTCACCCAAGAGCCATCGGGACTCTTGACGACGTACATGCCAAAAGTCTGCAAGAACCTTCCGCCATCGTCTTGGTGCAGGTACGGAATCGGCAGTTTGGTCAGGTCAATCTCATCGCCCAGCAGCCTAAAGTCTTTGACTGGCCCAGACGCAACCTGTTTTGGCGGAACCCCGGGGAGTCTCTTGGTCGTGTTGAGTTTGTCGATAATTTCGTGGCCGCTGGCAGTCGATGGCAGGCCGAGCGACTTTGCGATTCTGATAAATCGTCTACCGGGCAGGCGGCTGGCGCCCACGGGTGCGCACAGGATTCGAAATAGGCCGTTGCCCTCCCAGCCCTTGGGGTTGTTAAAGAGCGGAGCTTTGTCTCCAGTCTCGTATACTCTGCGCGCAATGGCAGCAACCTCGAAATCTGGGTCTACCTCCACATTGACAGAGACGAGGTCACTCTCATCGTGAAGCTCCTGGATGAAGCGCCGAAGGTTCTCCGCCGAAGTCTTGGTTGTCTCGTGAGGCAAGAGTTCAACAACCATTGTCGGAGACGACATATAGACCGTGGCACGTCGTATAATTATTGATTTTACAATTGAATATTCTAGTCACAAGCTCCTACGAAGTATTGTGCTTCATTTAAGCAGAGATATAGCTGACCCGAACATGTTACAGCTCTTGACAACGAGCGACCAGTTGGTGGATCTCGCGGCTTCGCGATCTCGCCGTTCAAGCGACGAATGCGCCCTTCCACCGCACCGCAACATCAGAGTGACCCTCAATTACTACAATTCCATCGTTGACTATTGGTCCAGGGACTATTTGTTACGCAATACCAGAGTGAAGTAGTATTCTCGGCAAGCTATCCGATGTCCTACTATAATATGTGGATACGACTACGGCTTATCCGATGGTAGCTATTACTCTATCTGCTCTTATACAGCCAGTCGTCTTTCAGAATTCTCGCAACGACGATTCAAGAAAGGACCTGCCAGGTCCGCTCACCGTTAAGCGACAGTCGCCCTAGGTAAGAACCTGTACAAGTATGATGTCAATACATTGTGGAGCCAAAATGAAAGACGTCGTGGAGGCCGAGCAGAGTTGAAAGGTCCATGGCTTCCTTATGAAAACGCCATGAGACTGTAATGCTACAGTCAGGACATTCTAAACACTCACTCCGCATAGCTCTGCAACCAGCCGGGGTTGGCTCGACCCTGAAGAACGTGCACCATGTCGACAACTACGCTAAACGAAGTGGCCGTTGTACAACCAAACAACCAGCTACGAGAGACACCAAAGAGGCGGAAACGGATCATCGTAGCCTTGACAGGCGCCACGGGCACCGTGCTCGGCATCCAGACTCTCATTGCCCTCCGGCGTCTCAACGTAGAGACGCATCTCATTGTGAGCAAATGGGCCGACAACACGCTCAAGTACGAGACCGACTACACGCCGTCGAGCGTGCGCGCCCTGGCCGACCACGTCTACAGCAACCACGACATGGCGGCGCGGATCGCGAGCGGCTCGTTCCGCGTCGACCACGGCATGATTGTCGTGCCCTGCAGCATGAAGACGCTGGCGGCCGTCAGCGCGGGCTACTGCGACGACCTGATTGCCCGGGCCGCCGACGTTGTGCTCAAGGAGCGCCGGCGGCTGGTGCTCGTCACTCGGGAATGTCCCTTGAGTGGCATCCACCTGCAGAACATGCTCACGGCCACGCAGAATGGCGCCGTTATATTTCCTCCAGTGCCGGCATTCTACATCCGTCCTTCTTCCGTCAATGACCTGGTCAATCACACCGTTGGCCGCGTATTGGATCTGTTTGACTTGGACACTGAGCAATTTGATCGATGGGAGGGGTTTCAGAAGGCTGAGAGATAGTCTAAATTGGAATATCTTTCAATACCACCTAGGTAGGCATAGCATCAAGTCAAGGCCTCTGATTCGCGCGACCCGAGCTTTGGACGAGTGAGTGTATCATGTTATCAGAGTTCGGCGTGTATTCAAAAGGTCCTGAGCTTTGCAAGAAGTCCAAAAGCAATCGCCAAAAGTCTATTTTGGATAAGTAGCAAGATAGCAAGATGTTAATGAGAGCCGAACTGTGGTAACGACTTACCCAACACAAGTACCACAGAAGATCATCCATCAGTCCCTGTCACCGATTTTCATTTTGTCGTACGAAAACCTGCTCCACGCGAATATTGTAAGACATGTCAATGTATTTCACAATAATGCAAAAATATCTCAGTACATGTTGGAGGATGAGCATCTGCTAACGCGCAGCATCTAAACTATGCGCGCAAATAATTAATAATACCCGTAATGCACCTCCAGTACCCTGCATGGTCCCCGATGACGGCTAGGCTTAGCGCGTCGATTATGCGCCTCCCAAAGAGCTCGGTCACTGGTCAATGACGGAATTTCCAGAAGCCTAAGCCCGTGATTTTGTCCAAATTCCTCCGACAAGTCTCGCAACAGCGCGCACCAAAAGTGACACCCAAGACGATGCCATCGCGCACGACCATTTGCGCCAATTTCCGAATGACATTGCGTCCTTGAAGAAAAGGCGTCTACATCATGGTCTCGGGGGCGGTGCGACGCGCGCTGCTCCCTTCGAGCGGCGCCAACTTTGGCTTCTTCTTCAAGCAAGCTCCAGCTCCCGGCCATCTCGGCCAGCCTGGAGCCAATGTCAGCCACGCTCTAGGCCAAAGAGCCTTTGGCACCACACCGAACCGCTTCGTACAACAGCATGATGGTCGCTTGACGATACGGAGCCTGTCGCGACAGACAACGACCTCGGCATCACACTGGCAGCCGCGGGCACACTTGGCGCAATGGGACTCGCCTGTGGCAATCCTGCGCCAGTTTTCCGCCGGCAGGACACTCAGAGAACAGCAAAACACTTCCGTAGGGAAATCCAACGATATCCTCCCAGCGAAACAACCAAGTACTGTCTCCGAAGTTGCCGCCATAAATGACGCCCAACCGCCGTCGACCGGCTTCGAGAAATCCGAAAGAGCAAGACAGGCCGCGCAAGTCAACTACAGCGCGCGGCTTTCCAAGGACAAGGACAAGAATAAGAAGAATCTCTCTGGCAGCCGCAGCGAAGTTGTCCGACTCCTCAAGCTCGCACGGCCCGAGTTGAAGTTCCTTGGTCTCGCCCTGTTGCTTCTGCTCATGTCTAGTGCAATCACCATGTCTATTCCCAAGGTCGTTGGCAGTGTCATGGATGCTGCGAGCAAGAAGTCCCTGGACGACGCAAAAGTGTTTGGCTTGTCGCTGTATCAGTTCTTTGGTGTATTCGCCTGCGTGCTGACCATGGGTGCCTGCGCCAATTTTGGCCGCATCATCACGCTTCGGCTCATTGGAGAGCGAGTCGTGGCACGTTTGCGGTCTTCGCTGTACAAACGGACATACCTGCAGGATGCCGAGTTCTTCGACGCAAACCGAACTGGTGATCTGATCTCGAGGCTGAGTGCTGATTCCATCATTGTCGGCAAGAGCATCACCCAAAACCTGTCAGATGGTCTGAGATCGCTGATTAGTGGTGTTGCCGGTATCACCGCAATGGCCTTTATTAGCCCTGGATTGACTAGTGTCATGTTTGTTGCCTTGCCCTTTATTGGTACACTGTCGTTTGGCTATGCGCGCTTCATCAGACGGATCAGTCGTGATATCCAAAAGAACGTGGGCACACTGACAAAGATTGCCGAGGAACGCTTGAGCAACGTCAAGACAAGTCAGGCCTTCAACGGAGAGCGTCAGGAGCTACACCGATACAATGGACAGATTCGTCGAATCTTCAACCTTGGCATGAAGGACGCCTTGTACACTGCTTCGTTCTTTGGCGCGACTGGCTGGATGGGTAATATGACCATCCTGGCCATGCTATGGTTTGGTGGCGGCTATGTAGCGAGTGGCGCTCTCTCGCTCGGAGACTTGACATCCTTCATGATGTATGCTGCTTTTGCAGGCTCCAGCATGAGTGGTCTGAGTGGCTTCTTTACAGAACTGATGAAGGGAGTGGGTGCTGCCACCAGGCTTTTTGAGCTTCAGGATAGAGATCCTGGCATCCCGCCAACAAAGGGCATCAGGGTCAAGTCTGCACAGGGCCCCGTTACCTTTGACAAGGTGTCTTTTGCCTATCCAACACGCCCAGCTGTACCGATTTTCAATGAACTCAACTTCACGATCCCCTCCGGAAGCAACGTCTGCATCGTTGGTCCTTCGGGTGGAGGCAAGAGTACCGTTGCCTCGTTGCTTCTAAGATTCTATAACCCGACATCGGGTGTTATTTACATCAACGGAATCGACATCACAACCATGAATGTAAAATCCCTGCGGCGACGCATTGGAGTTGTTTCTCAGGAGCCAGTCCTATTTTCCGGCTCGATCAGGGACAACATTGCCTATGGCCGCCCCGAGGCCCCCGAGAGTGAAATTTTCAAGGCGGCCCAGGAGGCAAACTGCCAATTCATCAAGGACTTCCCTGATGGCATGGACACTCAGGTTGGCCCACGGGGCGCCCAGCTTTCTGGTGGACAGAAACAGCGTATCGCCATTGCCCGAGCCTTGCTCCTCAACCCCGATATTCTAATTCTCGATGAGGCTACTTCGGCCCTGGATGCCGAATCCGAAACCCTGGTGAACAGTGCGCTGGTCAAACTACTCCGAAGCCACAGCACGACTATTTCCATTGCCCACAGATTGTCGACTATCAAGCGCTCGGATCAGATCATTGTCCTCTCCAACCAGGGTACCGTGGCTGAGATGGGTTCCTACTCGGCCTTGAGCGCTAACCCCAACAGCGCATTCAGTAAGCTGATGGAATGGCAAATGAGCGGCGGTGAGGTGCCGCAGGTCGAGACGCCCAGGCACATTCCCATTGATGAGGTTCAAGCCTTGGATGAGGAAATGGAGGGCGAGCAGCATGAAGAGCAGCATGATGAGGATGAGGCTGAAGCCAACCAAGAAGAGAAGGAGAAGCCCCGCAACTGATTTTCCCCATGACCAACATTCCGATGTCTCATTGCATTGAACGGCGGAGCGAGGACATTCTTGCATTTAAAAAGTATGAACGAAGGACAATGACACTGCACATGATCCTGCAGCCCAGCAATGTTTCTGGGTATTCAGGGGGTTGATTCTAGCCACGGGCATGGTTCTTTAATGGGTTCATAAAAAAGGATTATGGCTAGACATGTTGTGGCATTGCTTGTAGAGTATATTCCGCCTCCCCACTCGACGATACCGCTGTAGACGTTCTCGAACATTTCTCTCCCACAGATTTCCTAGGCTGTTTACAAATTTGTATATCAGAAAAAAATAGACGATAATTTACACGATGTCTCTGCGCTAGAATCCAATTTCTCAAGGTCTTGCCATTAGGTGCCGGATGATCCCATGTTCTAACTTTACTTGCATGGGTTCAATGACAGACCTCGGATGTTGAAGGTTTAAGCTGTGCCATTCATGAACGAAAGCGCCCCCACATGGTCATCCTCGGCGAACGGACCTCCTGGGCAATCCCCATGGTTGATTCCCTTTTATTTACAAGGGCCTCTGATTCATTGTAAACAGCTTTTGTATCAATTGATTCCATATATATCTGTAATCACGACGTCTCTTTTGTTTTTCAATCGTTGTATAGTGTATTGTTACTCTAGGCAACAAATCCATCCGAGCCTCATTCTGCCAAGCAAGCTCAGCAGCCACAGCCTTACAGCGAGTCAGCGGCATGTGTAGCAACTCATCATAGCCTGTCACATTCTCATCTCTCCATCGCAGAAAAAAGAGCTATCACAAATCAACAAGTCGCAAAAATGGTCAAGGAAATTGAGGGCACGTTTGAGGCGGGAGACATGAGCCTGTACACAAAGTCATGGCTGGTAAGGTTCTTGACTAACCCACATGGACACAATTGCACGTGCTGACTCGGATGTGCAGCCTGATGGCCCAGCAAAAGCCAAGATGATCATGTTCCACGGTTTCTCTGACCATTTGGACCGCTATTACGACTTGTTTCCCACACTTGCCCGTGGCGGCATTGCCGTCTACGGCCTCGACCAGAGGGGATGGGGCCGCTCGGTAAAGAAGACCTCGCAGCGCGGCAACACGGGCCCGACCTCTCAAGTCCTCGCGGATATGGCGGCCTTTATCAAATCACAGCTGCCGTCGGACGTTCCCGTTTTTGTCCTGGGCCACTCCATGGGCGGCGGGCAGGTGGCCACGCTGGCGAGCTCGCCGCAGTACGCGGAGCTGACGGGCCAGGTGCGCGGATGGATCCTCGAGAGCCCGTTCATTGGCTTCACGGCCGAGGAGGAGCCCAACTGGCTGACGGTCTTCTCGGGTCGTCTGGCGGGCAAGCTCATGCCGCACTTTCGCCTGGTGCGCCCCATTGCGCCCGAGAAGATGTCGCGCGACCCCGCGGTGGTCGAGTCCGTCCGGGCAGACAAGCTGATGCACAACACGGGCACGCTCGAGGGGCTGGCCAGCCTGCTGGACCGCACGGCGTCGCTGAGCAAAGGGGAGCTCAAGCTCAATGACAATATCCGGAGCCTGGTGGTCATGCACGGCGACGCGGACAGAGTGTGCAGCTTTGACACGGCGCGCAAGTGGTTCGAGAGCCAAAGCGTCCCAGACGGCGAGTTTAGGGTCTACGAAGGGTTTTATCACCAGCTGCACGCTGATCCCGGCCGCGAGCGCTTCTACGACGAGGTCCGAGACTGGATCCTGGAGAGGGCCGAGGGCGGCGCCAAGTCGGGCACCGAGGTCACCAAGACCAAGAGCCCGGTTGTGGAGGGCAGGGCAGAGGCCAAGTTATAAGTGAGAGAAGAGTTGGGGCTTTGAATATGATTGTTTTCTTTTCTCGTGATTTACTGCTACATGAGACCAGCATTCCTGCATGTCTCGGAAGTCATGACTACTTTCGCGTTGATATCGATACCTTGCTCGTTGTGTTTAGGGGAACATGAGCCGCGACGGTTCTTGAACTGTAGTGCTGCACAATTTTCTGCACCTATCCAGGCACATTCTGTACCCATGTATTTCTTGTTTTGTTAAATCAAAAGACATTTGTTTGGAACATTAAACACTTGGATGACTTGCATGGGTGAAAGCCATGTGTAGGTGTTGCATAAAAGTGAAGATTGTGTATTATTGCTGGCAGTTGCATTATCCTGGCTACGTTAAGCTTTTTATGCTACAGCCAAATCCATTGGTGCCTTATGACGGACAGGACAGGCAGCCCACTTCGCGGCTTGGAGTGACTGGAGCACGACCCACGCTCAATGCGGTCTAACTCAATCGACGGTCCCTCTACTGATGCCAGCTGTGAGACTTGAGCATCCAGGGGATTGAACACAAGGCTACTACTGCTGCTACTGCTCACTTGACGACACCAACACTCTCCTTCTTGACCATATCGAAGAGACGGCCTCAGTCTGCTTTCCCTGCAGCTTCTTCACTGGTCATTCGATATCAGCTGGCCCTCGTAGGGCCTCGACCAATCTGTCAAGATGAGTTCCTGTCCGTCGCCCCTCGGACCTGCTCTACTCCCTCCTATAGTTGCCAATCCATCCACCCCAGTGCGACTGCTGACCTTGGAGCTCCGCGTATAGTGAAGCAGTTCATCCGCAATGTGCGTGCGGCCAAGACCATTGCCGACGAGCGAGCCGTCATTCAAAAAGAAAGCGCCGCCATTCGAGCCAGCTTCCGAGAGGAGAGCCACGATCACAACATAAGGTGCGCCTACGGACAGATCGCCCGCCACTCACCCCTCCATCGCGGCCATGGGAAATGTTTATACTGATCACACTTTGGGAACCAGGCGAAACAATGTCGCCAAGCTTCTCTATCTCTTCACATTGGGCGAGAGAACCCATTTCGGACAAATTGAATGTATCAAGCTTCTGGCCTCCCCTCGCTTCGCCGACAAGCGCCTGGGACACTTGGCCACAAGTCTGTTGCTTGACGAGAACCAGGAGGTATTGACGCTTGTTACCAACTCTCTACAAAAGTATGTTGAGAATCTACTATGCCAGGCCACTCGTTGCAGTACTAATCATGCCCCAGTGATCTTGGTCACTCGAACCAGTACATTGTCGGCCTTGCCCTCTGCACTCTAGGAAACATTGCATCAATCGAGATGTCGAGAGATCTGTTCGCCGAGATTGAGAAGCTAGTATCGACCAACAACCCGTACATTCGGAGGAAAGCTGCGCTGTGCGCCATGAAGATTTGTCGAAAAGTCCCCGACCTGCAGGAGCATTTTATCGAAAAGGCCGCCGCCTTGCTCTCCGACCGAAACCACGGTGTACTTTTGTGCGGTCTCACACTCGTCACCAGCATGTGTGAGGCTGACGAAGAGGAGGGCGGTGAAGAGGGCATTGTCGACAAGTACAAGCAGTTCATCCCCGTTCTAGTGAGAACCCTGAAGGGACTGGCTACTTCTGGATACGCCCCCGAGCACGACGTGACTGGAATCACGGATCCATTCTTGCAAGTCAAGATTCTACAGCTGCTCCGAGTCTTGGTTCGTGGCGACCCCGAGGGTACCGAGCAGATCAACGACATTTTGGCCCAGGTGGCCACAAACACCGACTCCACCAAGAATGTTGGCAACTCTATCCTGTACGAGGCGGTGCGCACGATTCTGGACATTGATGCCGACTCTGGTCTTCGGGTTCTGGGTGTCAACATTCTTGGAAAGTTCTTGACGAACCGCGACAACAACATCCGATACGTGGCACTGAACACTCTCATCAAGGTTGTCGCAGTTGAGCCAAACGCTGTCCAGAGACATAGAAATACAATTCTCGACTGTCTGAGGGATCCCGATATTAGCATTAGACGGCGCGCTCTGGATCTCAGTTTCACGCTTATCAACGAAAGTAATGTCCGCATTCTCATCCGAGAGCTTTTGGCCTTTTTGGAAGTAGCCGACAATGAGTTCAAGCCGACCATGACGAGCCAGATTGGTATCGCCGCTGACCGATACTCGCCAAACAAGCGGTGGCATGTCGACACCATGCTGCGAGTGTTGAGTCTTGCCGGAAACTACGTCAAGGAGCAGATCATGTCTTCATTCATCCGTCTTGTTGCTACCACGCCCGAGCTTCAGACTTATGCCGTCCAGAAACTCTACATGAATCTGAAGAAGGACATCACCCAGGAAAGTTTGACTCAGGCCGGCTCTTGGTGTATTGGAGAATATGCCGACTCATTGCTCAGGGGTGGACAGTATGAAGAGGAGGAACTGGTACAGGAAGTCAAGGAAAACGAGATCATTGACCTTTTCTCGACTATACTGAACAGCAGCTATGCCAGCCAGGTGACAACTGAATATATCGTGACGGCTCTGGTCAAACTCAGCACCCGGTTGTCCGACGCGTCGCAGATTGAAAGAGTGCGTCGCCTTATCCAACAACACCAAACTAGTTTAGACGTCGAAGTTCAGCAGAGAGCCGTCGAGTACAGCAACCTCTTTGCATATGATGAGATTCGTCGGGGAGTTTTGGAGAAGATGCCACCACCGCAGATCAAGGAATCATCGCGCGTCCTGGGCGAGGCCACTACCAAGTCAAAGAAGGCGGCCAATCGCAGATCCAAGCTTGTGGCAAAACCTTCTACAGACCAGGATTTGTTAGACCTTATGGGCGATGTGACGGGCGGTCCTGCTTTGGCGTCGCCTACCAATGGCGGATCAAGCAATGCGGACTTGCTTGCAGATATTCTGGGCGGCACCAGCAGCCCGCCACCTCAGAGCGCTGGCTCTCCACCACCAGGGTCGAATGTTGCATCAATCATGGATCTCTTTTCTCAGGGCGGGACCGCCTCTCCCGCGCCGGCAGCTGCAGCACCCCCTGCCAGCTCTGGACTGGACATCTTGGGCGGCATGGGAACACCTCCACCCCAGGCACAGGCACCTGCTGGACTTCCGTGCTACGATGCCAACGGTGTCAATGTGACACTGGCGCTTCAAAGAAATGCAGAAGGCGCCGTACAAGTTACTGGACGCTTCCGGAACAATTCGGGCGGTCCGATCTCGAATGCTGGTCTCCAGGCAGCTGTGCCCAAGTCACAAAAGCTGCAATTGCTCAGTATATCAAACACGGATATCCCTGCCGGTGGTGAAGCTACGCAGCTCATGAGGATCATGGGCAGCAAAGGAGTAAGTTATCTCAAGAATGAACACCCAATGAATTTGTGCCACTTGCTAACACACTTTTCAGCCTCTGCGGTTACGACTCAGAGTCGGTTACACACATCCCTCGGCAGGTCAGGTAATGGATCAGGTAAACTGGACGGAGCCATCTTAAAATTGATAGAAGCGCATATACCAATAAAAGGGGCCTGGAGCGTTTTGACAAGATAATCTCATCCAATCATTTCATTATGCATTTGACTGTGTATTTGTTGTACATGTGCATTTTTAACCACCCTAGTCTCATAATTCATAGCATCAGTCTGAATTTACCATTCACTGAGATGAGCGCATGTTGTAGAGTCAGTTCTTCTCACGTTGGAGATTTCATATTAACTTGATCTTGTTGTAATGAATTGCATTTCCCACAAGCGGAGGGCGATCAATAGCCTTCAGCAACCCCGAGACTCAAATCCTGAGGACCTTGGTAAACATGAAAAGGTGTGAGAGATTGCAAAATGCAACTGCCACAGGCTCCAGGTTGAGGATAACTGTAGAGCCACATGACACCACGACCTTGATTACCCATTGACTATTCATCATCCGCGAGGCTTGATAATCTTTTCTGCCTTTTCTGTCATTTGCTTGTCAATCTTTCGCGATCCGCTGAAGATCTTCCTACGACCGGCTTGGTTTCTAAATGTAGAAATATGTGTCAAAATTGCACAGTCGAGCATATGTGACATTGTTCACGACAAGAAATATGAAAAGCAAGAGGCACAAGCCGGGAGATGCAAAGCCAGAGCCAGATTACAGACATGATTAAAGAAAAAAAAAAGATTCTATCTAATAGCCATCTGTGGAATGTGATGCTGATCAGACATCTGATTTAATCTTACTGGCGGGCCACAGGTTCGAGACAACTGAGAGAATCGAACCTGGTTGCTTGCAGGGTCATTCCCCCCGTAGGGAGCAGCTACCAAGTATTCAACTCGACCGCGCGCAGTGTGATTTT